TTTATTTTTGATGGTCTCTTATGGTAGCTTATTTCGTTATATTTTCAAGCTTCCTCTCGTGGTCTTATATTTCTCGGCATAAAACGTCGCGTCGTCTGTTCGCTTACGAAAGTTATGAACTTTAATCATTCATGTGATGTATATTTTTGTATGTGGAGTATCGAGTATCTCACCGTGACAATCCGTCAAAGCGAGATGTACATTTGATTCGTGTCCGAACGGGTTTCGTCGAAGCTTCGATTGGTCACTGAATTTTCAATCGTATATTTTTCTGTTCTTTGAAACGTGGTCCTTTCCAAAGATCGCGTGAGTTCAGAAAAAATGATAATCACGAGCTTCACCGATACCCGGTCGAAATTACGGTTGCATTTTTATCGGATCATATATTGTCCTAAAATTGCAATTTTTCGGTTTACATTCTGAGCTATTGATGCATGGGCTTTTTTATTAGTTTCCTATTTGGTATAATCTTCTGCTGACGTTGCGCCGACGCTGACGGACGGTACGATGTTCGGAAATTCATTCCTTGAAGTACTGAACTGTGTACAGTATTAGAATTAAGAAGGGACTGCTGGATTCGTCGCTTTATTGACTCTCCAATCTTGAGTCCCACCAGGCTATTCTTTTTGGATGACCTACGCAGCGATTAGATTAATAACAAGCGAGTGAGGCTGCTCGTTTTCGTCTTCTTTTCATCCCAATCTTTCTGAAAACTACAGCCACGCCTCAGATTCCGTGCATAAATCTGGGTAAAATATAGAAACAAACCACGTGTAAGTCGCGTCGTAATTTATTCCGTGGAATCGATATGCGTCGAGCGTACGTTTTACGCGGTGGATAGTGAATTCATTCAGGGATTTGGGAAAATAATTCCTGCGTATGAATACCCTTAAATGGGACTATTTGGAATCAGAGATTCGGAAAAGATGTATACTTCCTACGTCTCGACGACTTACTGGCATCCTGGACGATTTATGGCGTAGCACACGATATGAACCCTGTCCGAAGCTGCTCGGGAGATCTGAATAGGATGGATTTAATTGTATCCAAGAGTTGTTCAGATTTTTTTTGGAAACTGGAAAACAGGAAATATGATCCATCGTCTGCAAACGAAGACGTATGTTTTTCGTGTTGGGATACGCTTTTGGGATTGAATATGATCTCTCATCATCAGCAGTTAACTTTTTATTTCTAGCTTATCCCAAGTTTATTTACGCCTTCATCATAGCAAATAGTTTCAAATAGCTGGACCTCCGCCTCCTTTTTCCTCGATACTCAATTCGTGATGACACAACAACTATGTTTCTGTATAAATGCTGGAGCTCTGAAATACCGCGGCTTGCCTTATCTTCTGAACTCTTCGTTTTTCACCATTTTAACTAAATCTCCGACGTCACACCTAACGTGGAATGTGCTTGTCTGCCTTCTACGTCACCGACGGGTACACGTCAAGTTTAATTTACCATGTTTTCGAGGCGTGACGTTTTTAGGCGAGGAAAACGGATACAGCAAGAGCTTTGAGGTGATCAATCTTGGTCTGTTCTTGAAATTTTTGAATTTCCGCCGGAGAGAGTTATGAAGACGTGTTTGCATTGCGAAACTCAATCGACCGAGGATAGTGCTGTTCGTTTTCGCGTCTCAGTTGCTTCCAATCAATGAGAAGTGAAAAACACCCATCTTTTTATCCTGAGTTCAGTGGAAGAAGCTCACATGAGTGCTTTCGTCAGCATCCAAATGCCGCGTTTCTGTTTGTCGATTCTGACGAGTGAATCGCAACTCCCATGACTTTCCATTGCTTCTAGCGTGATTTGCTGTGTGTACAATAACAACTTCGAGGTTGTCGGCATGGTTAGAATGAAACCTTCCGCGCAGCCAAAAGTGTAATTTCCAGAATATATATCCCATTCAAAACTCTGGCCCACGCAGAAGAAGGCGACAACATGGCAGTAAAACGAGATTGATTTAAAACGACTCCAGCATGTTTGGATGGCGTCAACAGTCTTTGATGTGCCTCCTAAGTACTGTATTGCGATCAGGTTATCAAGACCAAAACCATGACGTCAGTTGCGAAGTCAGTATATGTATGAACAAGTTTACATATCCCGAAAACTTTGCGTTTCAGGTATTGTCTATAGTCTCTATACTTATACCAGAGTTATATTGTATATTTTGCTACTGATTCTCCGGAATAAAGTATGAACTCTTCTCCCCCTTTAACGAATTTGAAAAGCATCAGAATGCAGGAAACTCAGTTTCGAAAAAAATTATTCAGGATCTTTTGGGTCTTTGTTACGTTCAATATAGGCGTTGGTCGTATGATGACTGACAAATAAAATAATCTCAATAAAATCAGAAATGCGATCGTCCCTCAAAATCCGCACTATATCTGTATAGACGCTTTTTGCAATTATTTCCTGTATAATTAAATTCGCCATTCAAGCGGATTTTTCCTATAGTCCTTGCAAACCTAAATTAATGAAATTGGAGTTACATTTCTTTTTTATACAGCAATTTGTCAGTAAAGTGAATTTGTTTTTAGTTTCCTGCGATTTTTCGCTGTGAAAGTCGTACGTGCGTGAGTACGTGTGCTTCACGGAAAAGAAGTTCGCCCTTCAAAAATTTCCAACAGAAGCTAATACTGTACTAATCTTGGATTATCTCACTTTAGTTTTCAGTTCCGGAGTTTAATGTGAGGGGAAATTAAATTTGAAACTAGAACGGATTTATCTAATGACGCAGCATTTTTGGCTCCACTTAAATATGATATGAACTTTTTCTTAATGAGCCGCACGGGATTATCAACGGATGCAGACGCGCGGCACTTTGAAATAACGTGTTCAGCTTTCGAATAAGTGAGACGATGGCGACACTCGAAGGATAGGATTTCGGAGGAACAATGACGAGGCAGATTTCACCCTCCGTGGAATAGTTGCCAATCATCGAAAACCATGGCAACGAGTCACGTCGAAGCGGCGTCAGCTGACGTCGCCGGTTGGACGAATGACAGAACGATTGTGTCACGCGACAGGAGTCTAAAGTTCAAAACTTTCGAGAAATCAACCCGAGCCTTTTATCTTCTCGGAAATGAGTTTCAATCCCCTGTGTTACGTCATATACTCGAATCGCGGTTTTCACTTGTTATAAGACCGTGACTGTATATGGCATATTTTTTTTTGCTTCCCAAATTGGCTCGGAATGTCGGGGTGCCTTTTTGCATTCTGTGGTGTCCTGTGTTTGATGGCGACCCAGTTTTCTTGAGAAGTTATTTCTTCTTTAAATCCGACCAACTGAAAATGTCCACTAAAAGTAGACTCTGTTGTAATTCGAGAGGGCTTCTCTGATCTCTTATACATAGCTGCTTCGGAGCGAATCTAATTCTGGATATCCCGATGTCGTCATTAATTAGAAAAGAATAATTTAACACGAGGGCATGTCAATAACTAGTGGTATAAATAATGGTGTTTTTAGTATTTCTTCAATTATTCGAGTTTAATGCTTGGTATTGAAAGGGTGTTACGAAGAAAATACAGGTGGACCTCGATAACTCGAACCTCCAGCATATGTTGCTTTGTTTTCGAGTTCCGGCCAGAATTCCCTTAATGTTTTCCTCCTGAAACTTACATAACTAGAAATTTTCGAGGAATTCTGGTTATCACAGTATTTTATTGACGCAGGGAAGAATAAAATTAAAGCCCAGAATATCACAAATTAAAATTTACTGTAATTCTTCTTTCTTTCCACCAGCAAAAGTTCTTGTTTCCCTACTGACTGGAAATCTCCGACTCGATTTTTTTTTCACGGTCCCTTGAATTTAAACTTGAAGATGTTCAGCTGTAATACGTGAACATAAACCAATATACCGTGATCAATGAGGATTCGAATGAATAAATAATTCGTCTGATACAATAAAGAGAAAATTCGTGACAGTGTCTGTGACGAAAGACGAAGTGTGTCGTTTCTTACACAGTGAAGTTGCATCTTATTCTACGCGATCGACTGAGTATGTTTTGGCTTTTGAAGTACTTGGAAATTGCAAATTTGCATATATTCAATCGATTCCCTCAAGTGACTGCGTAAAGCATAGCATAAATAACTTTAGAATGCTTCATGACTTTCCGGAAATCCCCCGTCTTCCTCTGCTGGACGTGTGTCGACTCGTTCCGTGTCCTTGTGACTGACGAGGAGAGAACCACGTGACGACTGAGAGAACCTGCTTGAAGATTAAATCAGTCCACCTGTTTTTTTTCTCTCGTGAATTTTTAAAACACTAATTTCAGAGATTTGATCAGTTCCACCTTTCTTATTCTTTTTTGTTGTTGCTATTTTGAATTCGTAAATGCATCGTTGTCGGTCAAAGTGCGTCGCACAGGCATGCTTCTTAAAGATTCACTTGCAAAGAGAGATTCACGTGCAGCAGAATGTGGAAAATGTTCTCAAACACCTTTGGAGAGAAGACGCTCATTTTTTTATTTTGACCGAAGGCGCTTCTCCTCGTTCTGGGGAAAATTCATGAAAATTGGATAACACAGCGAACGAACGCGTGATGCTGCCCACTTGTATTATTGTATTTTTTAACAATGGTCTTTGCAAATTATGTAAAATAACTTGGCGACCTGAGACTGACTTTGAGCAGAAATATATGATGCCATAGAGTTGCACTTTCAGAGAAATACGATTGAGAATCATTAGAAAATATTGGAAATTTTCTGAACGGAAAGTGGTTTTTGGTGGATAACAGGATATGTTGCGTTTTTCCAAGTTTTCCGTGCTGGATTTTTTCAAAAGCAATATTTTTCGTGAATCTAGTCGACGCATGGATTCATGTGAGTAAAAACCCGATGTGATTTCCGCATGTATGAATTCTTGATCCCGGCCTTCATCGTTGGGCTCTGTCGCGCCATAGTTCACCGGGTTCGTCAAGCTTTGCAAGAGCCACCCTTGAAACATAGCCCTTGATCTTCCCCCCTTTTAACATTTCGGTTAGCACTTAGCAGCAAGGAATGCATCACTTCCGGGTTCCTCCACATCAACCATGTCATCCGTTATCGCGGAAAATCATTTCCGGGTACATCGGACGGAAAGAGAAGGTCCGAGAGGAAGCGCGCGGTAATTACTTTTCGGGCACTGAAAATCTCCGCCAATTTCCGCATGTTTTCAAAGAAAACTCAGTGTCAGCAAGCGGCGTTTCATTTTGATTAATTACGTCCTGAAAAGGGTCGGGCAGACCCTCCTTTTCGCGTGTTGGTCGTAATCACGGCATTCTTCGAGTGCCTCGTCCGTTTCTCGTTGCGAATCTCCTCACTTCCGCGTTTTCCTCATATCTGTCTGCAAATTTTTTTCATGCTTATCTATAGAGACGGGATTTTAGCTAACGCTTGTATACGCATTATTATTCGCAATTTAGCTCTCGTGTTGGTTCGTTGAAAAATGCAATAAAAGAGATGCAGTAATAATCGCGAGGGATTAATTCTCGTTCCCGGTGCTCTATGAGAGTGGCTTGAGTACGTGAGCTCATGTGGAATTTACGAAGAGTGTTTCAACTACCCGTGATGCTTAGATGTGATAAGTTGCTGAAATTTCAAATCATCCACCAGCTTCAGAACTTGTGATTCTATCCTTCCCTATGAATATACTGTATAATTGATTTTTTTCTACAATGCAGTCCGAATTACTCCCTGAATCTGCAATTTTCATGAATCTGAATTATTTTTTTACGGTTTGTGTGTTAGCGCAGCTTTTTGCGGATTGAGCTATAGGAAGTGGAGGAGAAAATATTTCCGAACTGTTAAAAGAGTTTTCTTTCAAGCGTGATTTTTTTTAGATAAATTTATGGGTTGTGTATAGGATGTTTTTGACATTTTACGGATAGAATTAATTGATGTTTCCGGTCCTGTGCATGTTTTGTCAACAAAAGATGGAAGCGAGAGACTCGTAGGATTGCTTGTTTTCGTTTATTGACCAGCATTTGCACTTCTCCTTGATTCTTATTTCATAAAATTTTCTGCTGTTTTTCGCGTTGCCGATTTCCAAGAGCTTGCATTTTTCATGGATATATCTGAGAGATGATACTCTGTCGTAAAATATTTTTCATTACATTTTAACCGGTTCTTTGGTTTTTTGCGTTAATTTCTTACAGCTACAGTGTTTGTTGAGATATTCAGTCACTGTATTTTATTGGAAGCCGCATTGAGAAGAGTTGAAAATGGATTGAATTGTTATTGAAGTTCTCAGTTTTATTTAAAAAATCTAAGGATTATTCTAAAATTGCTTTTGCAGCATTACCAGCAGCAGCAGACGTTGAGAAGTGGACAGTTGCACCAGTAGAACCGGATCAGATGCCACAGATCCGAGAAACAGCGCTTGCCTCGAAACTCAGCAAAGCCAAGGAAACCAACAAACGGAATCGATCGAAAACGTTTCAAAAATACAAAGACTTAGCTATGGTGAGTGTCTTCGCAAAAATTCAATCAAAACAAATGATCGAGAAACAACAACTGGATCAGCGATCATAGCGTTTTAGAAGCTCCTGGTTTCATTTAAAAATTGAAATGTGATTGAATTATCTATCCTCCTGCAATTTTATTCTGATGGAACATTATTTTTCATAAAAATGTAACTGCAAGAGACTCTTCGCAGTCTTCGGATTAAATCGGTAAATTTTAATTTTCGGAGATGGAATTTTATTTTCGCTCGTTTGTTTGAATGTCAGCAGCTTTCGAAGCGCGTTTTTGAAACTCTCTCGGAATCTTCAGCTAATTTTCATCGTGTTTTCTTCCTTCCTTCCTTCCTTCCGATGAATTCAGGAAGAAGAAGCGAAGCGGATTTTTGAGTTGTTCGACTACTCCGTGGAGCAGGAAGACGAGAAGATCTTGAAGCGGAGTAACGCGGCGTTGGGGCACCAGCAGCAGCACTCGGTACGCCACGAGGGCAACCACCACCACCTGCACCACCGACGGCGCCACCGCGGAGGAGGCTCGGCTTCCGGCTCCGCCGCGGGTTCCTCATCCGCCGCAGCGGGCTCAGCGTCGTCTCATCTTGACAGTGCCAACGACAAGTCCGGGCACGCCTTCGCGAAAGACGGACTGGCTGAACAATACGACTCTGCCCAGCCCCTGGGTTCCGGGTTCCTCGGGGTTTGCGCCAGCATCATGTAAGTTGACCTGATGGCTCTTCTCTCTATAGCCCTTATTCTAAAACAATTTCTCTGTAAGCAACGATTTTTTTTCGTTCCGTGGGGGTTCTCTACGACGAACTTTTCATGGCTCCCTATGCCCCTAAATTTCTTCGTAGATTGAGTTCCCCTGTGTATCATAAGGGTGGGAGCAAAATATGCTTTAAAATACCATCTTTTAGCATTGCAGTGTCCGAAATTTCTCCTTCTAATGCAAATTAGGGAAAAACGCCTTCATCAGTGGAAAATTCGCTTGTTTTGTCATAATTAGAATGTTACTGACAGTTTTTCTGTTTTTTCAACAGGGTGAAAGAAAAACTGACGGAGACGTTCGATGCTGACGGAAACTTGGTTTCAATCATCCAGCGTCCTGGACAGCAGCAAGAGATTTACTACGAGAAATGTTTGAAAGCAGAAGTGAAATGTGCCGGTGAGTTTCTGTCTTTCAATCTATTTTTCTCAAAAAATTAAGAATACGCTGTAAAGAAAATTTGAAAATCAGGTGGCCACGCAAGAATATATATTTTACTCTACCTCGTTGACCCGGAAACCGTGTCGATGAGTAAGTCGCATAATATTTGAACCAGGAAGTAGAGAAACGCAAATTTTATCGTAGCAGAAGCCGCTTTGATCTTTTTGAAGGCAGTCTACAGGATCCCAAGATTATTCAGTTGATGAGAAATGATACTAGAGAAAAACATCTTCCAAACTGTTTTCCCGGCAAAATGTAGTAATTTACATGCAGTGGCAATAAGAACGCCATCGGATATGTGCTTGATGAGTAGTTTTTTGATCCACCACTGGTGGGAAGAGAAAAATAAGAGGTTGACTGATGGAAGGCAACCGTCTAGAGAATAAGAGAGGAACTAAATTGCATTTACCCAGCCTGGAATTCAGGCAATTTATTCTACAGCATAGGTCAGGAAGGCTTTTTTTGTTGGAATACAGTTAGTTTACGTTTTTAAGATATTGCTCACCTTGTGTAGGCAAAATTACTTTTTTGCTCTGTTTTACTCCGAGCAAGAGTTCCTTGGAAGTTCTTCTTGTTTCTGTACTAGAGCTCGGGATACAATTTCAGACGCATATTAGGTTATACTGTATATGCGGCATCAAAAGAGAGTTGCGAACTTGATTGCTTCGGGACGCATAAATAAGAGAACAAATAATTGTATTTAAAAAATCTATTACTGGTCGTCATGTAAGCCTTTAAAGATGGTTATGATTATGACTTATATCTCATTTGTCTCTATTTCTTGCCTCGTCAACACAGGTATCGACGAAGTGCGGTTCGACTCGAAATGCGAACAGGACTTCGGCTTCACACAAATGTTGTTCCGACGACACGGCGAAGACGGAAAAGCAACGGGCCCGACACTGTGGGGATTCGTGCGAGTGCCACGATCCTGTTCTTGCAAAATCCACCGAAAACAGTCGGCAGCAGACTTATTCGTGAAACACTCGAGCAGCAGTCTACTATACTGAGCATGTGGTCAGCTGGTTTATATAATTTTCATATAGGACTTAGGGCTGGATGCCAAACAATTTGTATAAAGGAAATTTTTGGAACGCCATGTTTTTTTAAGGACGTTGGTTACGCACGAGGATGTGTTTTTTTCCTCTTCCCTCCTTTGTATATTTCCACGTTTTTTTCGAGCGGGAATCTCAGCAATGATGGTTGTTTTCGTCACGATTTTTTTTTGGTCCGTGTTGGACACGTTGTGGTTGTGCAGCAGGAAAAAGGGGCGGGGGGGGGGGGGAATTCAGATCTCTCTGGGCGAATCGCTTCTTGGCATTGTGAGGGGTTCAATTTTTGAGGGGTTGCTGGGGAACATCAGTTTTAATTGCATACTCTAGTCACACTTCGCAACAAGTTTTACCAACCTATATATGAAACGATCAGAGAAATCGACGCATGCTTCGATATTCGGAGGCTAGCTTTAGTTCTATATCACTCATCTTCGCTGTTTCAACTCCGTGATCTTCCATTGAAAGCTTTCCAGTTGAATGCAGTAATTTTATTCCACGCATGAGAAGAGATGGTTGAGGAAAGCCAGCGTTGAAATGCCCTGCTTTTCTGATCCCGAGGAACGTACGTTGTGATATACATTAAATACCCTTCTTCGAACTTCTAAGTTTCAACTGACGTTTTATATTTTAACAAAATTCAAAATTCGATTACCTTTACCTGACCGTTGAAATTTCACCTGAGGTATGAGGACAAAGATCAGAAAGTTCATTCAACTCCTTCAAAATAAAGCAAACAAATTTTCGAAGATGCAATTCTTTCCGTCATCCAGGGTGAATGTTGAAAAAAATTCTCCTTCGTAGGCGTGATTGGATCTTGGAAAATTTGAGAATGGGAATCAAAGTTTTTGTTAATACGCTGTAGTGTTATTTTCCCCAAGAAACTTTCCATTCATGTCCAATCTTCAATATATAGCTTCTTAAATACAAAGGTAGTTTTTGATGAAGTCGCCTAAATCAGAAAAGGTACGTTTATTTAATATTGCTCCTCGAACGAAGAAATATTTTGTAGCAAATGTGTCATCCGTTTTTGATACCTCGGCTTTGATTGTGATTTTTCCTCGGAAATGATTGTGAAAGTATTGAAAGCCGAAGCTTGGCGGCTTCTTTATCATTTTTTCAGAGATTTATTATGAATAGTATCCAGTTCTGCCTTTGAAAGAGATGAAAAACTGATAATTTTTAGCCATTTTTCCGTGTTGGGAATGGAGGCTTGAGAAGTGTGGCAGAAGTGATCGAAGGGTGCTGTCGGAATAGCATGATCGAATCCCGTGCATTTTCCGAGTCATGTAGATGAAGAACCTTTTTCTGCGTCTGCTTGAGTGTAACCTGAAACCTGAGATCAAAAAATAAAAGAACCCTGAGTTTCCCCGGATTCTATTTAAAATAAAACCCCCAATCGTATTTATATTTGCCGAAGAAGCGAGATCTGATCAAATTGCTTGATTTTTTTTGTGGAGGATCTTCGACTATGTGGTCCCTTGATTTGCCCAGTGAGGGGATCATTTGGAAATTGTGGAACTTTTGTTTTTCATTGTTGTTGTTGATGTTCTTGGTTGCTTTTTCGGCGCGATGTGGAGATGCCGCGGAACGGATTGATCTCAGAATGATGAAGACACATAAATTGTCGCGTGCTCGAGTCTCGATTGATCAGCCCCTTCATTCTGAGTTTCGTCGTTCTGCGCATGAGTCTTGAAATGTCCTTTATTTTTTCATAGGAATGAGACGAGTCTTTTAAAGAAATTTGCGCGTTTTTCTCTCCGATTTCACGCAGAAATTCGTCTTTCTGCGCTAGATATTTTCCCTTTTTACCTGCGGCTGCAAAGTGGGAACGTTGTGCTCTGTGGTTGCGAGATGACGCTCATGGCAATGTTGTTGAATGTTGTTTGTAATATGCCAAAGTTACGATTAAAAAAAGACGGCCAAAATGGATGCGAAAGAAATCGAGTTTTACTCATCCAACTACAAACGAATGCCATAACGTCACTTATTAGGTCAATATCTGAATCCTGACAATGTGCAGCATGATGCAGACGCCTTTTTTTATCATCGCTGCTGATGCTGCTGTCATCGGTTTCGTACATTCTGCTTTATTGCAGCAGAATTGTTAAGCGGGCAATTGATATAAGCTGGCATAAAGGCGTTTATCCTCTTTCTATACGTACATAAATCCATAATTGGTCAATTTTTCACCAATGTAAGGTAGCAATTTGACGCTCAATGCAATTAACAACTATGTGTGGATACAAAGAATATAATGTACTGTACAGTATTCGCTTTTATATTGCTGTACTGTACTATGATGAGCACCACGCGCGAACCTGCGTGGTTCTGCCTATACAGTATCAGTATACAGTACTTCATATGTAGCCGCCCACGTATGTTGCGTACCTCAAATTTATCAGTATCCACAAAATCATTGGTAAATTTGAACGAACCCCAAACGGTTGTGCTTCCGTGCAAGATGCTACTCCTCTGTTATTTTCTTGTCTAATTTTAGGGAAAAATGGATTCAAAGACAGTATTGTACTGCCAGAATGGATGCATATTTTTGGTTTCACCAAAATCCTACGCAAATCAAAATACAAATTGCACGTACAGCACTTAATTACTTTTGGGGGAATTTTCGGTTTGGCGGATATATGTGAAAAAAATCAGTATTTTACACTATGCGTTCTGTGTGGAATGAACCTTAAAGTTTTGATTTAAAGACAAAATTTGGTACAGTACTGTACGGTGTAGATGTGTGCGCTTGAACGGCTCGCATTACGGCTATAAAAATACAATTGTGTTTTTGTTGGTTACCTTTTTTTTTACTTCTTGACGTACTATATAGTACGTCGCCAGAAAAATTTACCAGAAAAACTGTTTGCGGAACCCGAAAAAATCGTTGGTGTATCGGTCCGAATGAGACTCCCTCGAACATTTGGAAAATTTTAATTCTTGAAATTAAAGATTATTACATAATTTTTTTTGGATAAATTAAAACACATGAACGTACTTTCTTAGTAAAATGGCACATTATTCTCAGAATAAGAGCAGAAACAAAATTTAATCTTCTAGCTGCAAACCAAAACGCCATAATGGTATTGTGTAAATGCTGATCCATTAAAAAATTAGATTTGCTTATATAGTATGAATAAATAAAATAGATCTTAGCGGAAAATAAAGAAGAAGGTACCATGCCATCATCCAACAATTCCAACTGCAACGCATTCACTTCTCCCACAGCAATCATTCTGAAAGTCGATCGAGAAACCCCCCGAGTAAAGCAATGTCTCATCCAGAAAGCGATTATTCAGTGAGTTGAAAAGTGTGCCATAGCGTCTGGGTACTAACTGTTGTGGAGTGAATCTACCGGCTCGTAGGTGTACGCAGGTGGTGTTGTGTTCCGTGATAGAATCGCCGCGATCGTCAGGTTGACATGGAATTTGGCGAAATACTGTATTAGGATCGTTGTGTTGATTGGTGGATGAAGTGAGCTTCTGAACGCCTGCAAATGTGTAATCCACCCAGGCGTTAACGAACTTGTGATTGCGTCCGTTTTGTTTTTCTTATGGTTCCGCCGAACGTAATCCACGCTCGTAATTCTGTAGCATTATGATTGATCTATCGGACTGCGTTTCATGACTTTATGGTGCATGGACGCTTGTTTGAATGTTCATAGGAGATATCGAGGTGCATTTTCAGAAGTGAAAAATGGACGAAGATCCCCGCTTCAGTTTCGCTGAAAATGAAAACGAACTGACCCGGGGATATGATGTTCGCCCGAGTGGACTGATTTTCTCAATTTACCATGCGGATGAGATTCGAGCGTTAAGCGTGGTTAACGTGGACAACTCAGAGTATATGTCAAACTTCGGTGAGCCAACTCCGGGTGGATTGCACGATCGTTCGATGGGGCCGATGCCCACGAATAGAAGAGCAGAAGATTCCTGCGCCACTTGTTCGCTCAATTTCTACTACTGTCCTGGTCACTTCGGTCGCATAGAGCTGCCCTTTCCCGTCATAAACCCGATTTGCTACGATCCAGTTGGTAAGCTGATGGACATGAGCTGCCTGAAGTGTAAACGCTTGCGTTTGAGCGACCAAGATTCGCGCACCATGATCCAAGAGTTTGATGCTGCTGATCGTGGCTTCATCACGGACGACGACCATTCCGAAGTGAAGGGTGAAAGAAAACCGATATCGACGATCTCCTACACGAGAAGCTTTGTTGAACGTAAAAGCGAAATCGTACTCAAATACGTCAATATTGCAAAGCAGTCTAATTGCGTGCACTGCGGTCATACACCTTCGAAGTTCAAGGTGATCGCTGGAAGATTTATCCGAATTGCCATGTGAGTCTTCAACTCCCGGGAGCTTACTTTTTGTTTCGAGGGATAGTTTTGCTTCTAACTGTTTCGCTCCTTAATGTCGACTACGCGTTCTCATTCTTTCGAGTTCGCAAGCGGAGTTACATTTGCATGAACAGGTGCCTTCCGTGATGATTATGACACAGTATCTCAATATCTCGCCGTGCCTTTTGATTATGCGTCATGTTGATTTTTTTGAATTCTATTGTAATTGGTTCAAATAAAACTAGCTTCAATAGCTGAATAATAATGTATGACGATGGGTAAATCTTGATATTTCCTTTTACTGTACACAAACTGTGAATTCTGATCCCGCGTATGTTGGAGAATTAGAAAGACGTAGTTAATACGGGTTGTGTTTCTTGACAGTTCCAAGAAAAAGTATTCCAGGCGAGTTGAAGGAGACAAGATGATGAAAGAATTAGAAGCTGAAAATGAAAAGAATGACTTAGAAGACAAACGCGTGCTTACACCCGCCGCAATGAAAGATCACTTGAGGCAGTGTTGGGAGAACGACGCTGTCGCCATCGGACGGATGTTCCAGCTCTTGGAGAATCTTGACAAGGATAGGTGGACACATCCGACAGATGCTCTGTTCATTGATGTGCTGACAGTTCCTCCTCCACGAGTCCGCCCCATGTCATTTTCAAACGGAATGGCTTCCTTACATCCAACTTCAGAAGCTTTCAAGAGCGTTATTGTTGCTTGCAGCAGAACGAAAAATTTTTCAGTTGATGGAAAAGAAGTGAGTGAGGTTTTTTATTTTTATAAATTGCAATCCATTGATATACGTGAGACGCCTTCATTGAATATTGATTTGGATACAAGAGCAATGTCTGTCATAGCTTTCTTGAGATCCCGAGAATTCTAGGTTACCCTATTTTTCGGAGCTCGGGGAAACCGTTGTTATGTATGATCCTTGATAAGATCTATTCACTTTTGTAAATCCTAATTATTTTTATTTCATGTTATTTTGAATTTTTTGGTGGAGGTTGGAGTTGGGAAATGATTAGACAGAGGATTTATGATTTAGAGCGTCAGTTTGATGGTGAACATAAAAATCTTCCTGTTCAAAATGTACGTGTCAGTTGAATAAAGAAATGATCCATGCAATTGTTTTCTCTCGGCTTAGGATAAGGTGAAGAGTAAGAAGCTGGATACTGCCTACTCCGACCTCCAGGCGGCGGTAAACCGAGTGTATGATCGGGATTTCCCTGGACTGAAGCGTGCTGCTGGCGAAAAACTCTTTTCTATTGGGTTGAAGCAGGTAAATTCTTGCACGTTGTGCGACGTGAGCTCATCTTTCTCTTACTTCGTTGTAAATGATATCTGCACTCTCTTGAGTCCGAAGTCAGAACCTACGGTTTCCTTGAAATATGCCAGGGATATTTGAATGTAAACGCCGTGGAATCTGGGAGGACCCCAAATTTTCTTACCTTGGAAATTTGAATTGGAAATCGGATCCCCAATCTTTGACCAATTGTTCCGTGCTCTGTTGGTGGACGGGGAGGTGAAATACATTTCTGCTATTTCCCGAAAACATTGTTCCGCGTTGGCGATCCGCGTATTACATTGTTGGCGATCCGCGTATCAAGTTTTGATGAAATTGTCTTCATGCTATAATTAACCTTTCCCGAAATGAGGTTTTCTATATTATCTCGAAATTAATGTGCATCTGCGTATTTACTGTATTAATGAAATAGTCTGAATGTTGAAATTAACTTTTCCAGAAATATTATGTCATCTAGGAAGCATCTTTGATTTTCCTCATGCCTTTTGTTTTTGTCGTGCTTTGAGATGCTTTAACATATCCTTAATGGGAAAAAGATAATTTACGATACTTTGCTAATCATACCTCGTAGATGCATGAACGCTTTTGAATGAGTGTATACAGTACGAGGGTTGGTTCGTAAAAGATGATGAACAGCTAAATGCCGTCATCGGAGGCGGATGCAATTTTTTCTTTCGCTCCTCAATCCTTCATTTGTGTCTATTAAATGTTCCATCCACTACTCAGCTACTGATGGAAATAAGAAGACCTCACAGTCAATGTTATCTACTGAAGTGCCCTGAAGTGAAGTTTAATGCGTCAGTATTGATCGTAGAGCATGGAAGTGCGCAGTTCCTTTTGATCCATTAAACTTCACTTCAGTGGAGAACGTTGACTGTGAGGTTTTTTTGTTTCCATCTGTAGCTGAGTAGTGGATGAAACATTTAGGAGACACCAATAAAGGATCGAGGAGCAAAAGAAAAAATTGCATCCGCCTCCAATGACGGCAATTAGCTGTTCATCATCTTTTACGAACCAACCCTCATATTTCTTGACCCTTCTTTTATTAAAACTTTTTCGTCGCTAATCTTAGAACTCCGTCGATTCTAAGACGCACCCTGATTATTTTTGGAGTCGGAATTTATAAAAGGCACTGTGTGTTTACGTTAATACCGTGTAATATTTATTAATATGGATTTAAATTACTGTATACAGCACATTATGTTGAAAAGCTATCGATTGTTTTTATTTATTAATTTATTAAATGCTACAGTACAGTATGTGAATTTTTCTTGCAGGTGATCGAAAAGAAAGAAGGCTTATTCCGCATGTACATGATGGGGAAGCGTGTGGATTTTGCTGCTCGCTCAGTCATTACTCCAGATCCAAATATTGGCGTCCATGAAGTTGGAATGCCATTGAACTTCGCTATGAAACTCACCTTCCCATCACCGGTGACTCCTCTGAACGTCCACGTGCTTCGTGACGCTATACTGAATGGACCTGACGAGTATCCGGGGGCAGAAATAGTGGAAATGGAGGATGGGCGCAAAATAGCATTGCGAAATTGTGGTCAAAGAGAGCGAGCTGCTATTGCCTCTGAGTTAGGTGGCCAGTTCTCCTTGAAGAAGCATGGCGGAAAAATCGTGCACCGGCACATGATTGATGGGGATATGGTTCTTTTGAATCGACAGCCATCACTTCATCGTGCCTCCATCATGGCACACAAAGTCCGTGTTCTGAAGGCGATGCGTAACACACTGCGGCTGCACTTCGCCAACTGCAAAGCCTACAATGCTGATTTTGATGGTGATGAGATGAATGTTCACTACCCACAAAATTACATGGCAAGAAGCGAGGCGGAGTTCATTGCCAATGTTGGGAATCAGTACTTGGTGCCAAAAGATGGAACGCCGTTACTCGGGTTGATTCAAGACCATGTGCTCGCTAGTGTACGCTTGACGAATCGAGGCACATTTTTGACGCGGGAAGAATATTTTCAACTTGTATTCGCGGGTCTGGCAGCAAATGTGAAAGGTGCACCAATCAAGTTGCTGGAGCCTGCTATCTTGAAACCTCGTAGGTTGTGGACAGGAAAACAAGTCATTTCCACGATCTTGCTTAATCTTACACCTCATGGGAGGAAACCAGTGAACATGAACTCGAGTGCGAAGCTAAATGAAAATGTGAGTCAATTCTGGAAATTCCAAAGCTAATTCTGCTACAATTCCTATTTCTGCTAAAATTCCTATTTTAATTTTGGGATCCCCATGCTTTTGTCTACTTCTACTAAATTTCCTCGAAATACAATCTGGTCTTGATTTAATTACTGTTGTACTCTCTCTTCAATGAAATTCAAGGTTTTAAAAAAGAATTTCGTTGTGGAAAACCCCTAGAACCTGGGGAGAGAACCCGATGGGATCGAAAAAAAAAATTATGCTGAGAATATCGTTGTAGAGGAGATCACCTGTATCTATAAGAAAATTTGCCAATGCTTATTTTCAAAGCCCTGTTTTTCCTTTAGGGTGAACGGAAGAACTTCGGTCCAATTTCCAAGTTTAAAAATCACGAATAGTCGGATTATTAAGATGCCGAATTTAAGTTAAAATTTTGCAGTGTGTGTGCCTCTGATTCTAAGGAACTACTGTACTGTACTTATCTATCTCTCATTGGATAAACCAAAAATAATTTTTAAAAATTTTTGTATGCTGTACAGTGTACACTCATACTTTTACTTATATTGACAAGGGCTCACAGTTGGGTTCCTTCAGTGTATACAATACCGCATTTTAAGAGGTTTTCAACAATTTTCTCCCGAGATGATTTCTTGAATTGATTAATTATTGGTTTAACATGATTTTTGAGCAAGTGTAATGCAATATATCAAATTTTTTGTAGAGTTTTAGGACGCCTGGGAATTCCGAGGGTGTAAAAGACATTCCGCACATGGGCGAAAGTCGGATAGCGGTTGTGGGGGGGTACCTGGCGCATGGCGTGTTTGACAAGAACCAACTTGGATCTGTTCCGTATTCGATTGTTCACGCTGTTTACGAGCTGTTTGGGAGTGATTGTATGTGTTCACTGCTGTCTGCGATGTCGACTTTGTTTTCCTGCTATTTGCAATGGGAAGCTTTTTCGCTCGGTATGGATGACATCCTTGTTTCTCCTGAGGCCAACAAGAAACGGCGCAAATGTCTGCGAGGAGTTCAAAAGGTTGATGCGTAGTTCTTTGTCGAATCCGAGAAAATCTTCCTTATATGCCTTAAACCGTCGTTTTACAGATGGGCTATAAGATAATGGCCAATGTACTCGGACTTGAACATTTGGATACGAAGATTCCAGAAAATCTGGGGCTGATTCGTAAGGCCTATTCGAAAAAGTACTTTTCGTTCGAACGCCAAGCATTGTTGCAAAAAATGGACGTGACTTTCAAGCGTTGTACGGATTTGGCGGTGAACGAAGTTCAGAGGTATTGAAAACCTTGATATACCGTATATATTCTAATTAAATGCAGGTTTCAAAGTTCTGCTAATCTCAAACTTGTCATATCGCCAGTTTAAAGTTTTAATACTGTATTTGACTTTCGACTGATTTCGTGCCGCATATAGCGAGAAGATCTCCGGTTTCAACAATTGATGTTTCCTCAACGTTAACGCCCAACTGTCTCTCTCTGGAATTATAGACCAGTTTACCACGTTTAGATGCCTTTCTAAATCTTCGTATTTACCTCTTATTCCCACTTCAGCGTTTGCATGGGCTCGGGGGGATTAATGAAGCAGTTCCCGGCCAACAACCTCTTATTTATGGTCGATACCGGTGCAAAAGGATCTCGAGTGAACGCTTTGCAGATGAGTTGCCTTCTCGGCCAGATGGAGCTCGAAGGCCGAAGGCCTGGTCTTATGATCTCTGGGAAAACTTTGCCTTCATTCCGTGTTTTCGATCCGTCTCCCCGTGCCGGCGGATTCATTGCTGGGCGATACGTGACGGGCATTAAGCCGCAGGAGTTTTTCTTTCATTGTATGGCTGGCCGTGAAGGGCTGGTTGATACTGCGGTGAAAACGAGTCGAAGTGGTTATCTGCAGAGATCGATTGTTAAACACTTGGAGAGTGTTCAGGTGTGCTACGACTCCACCGTCCGTGATGCTGATAATACCGTTATTCAGGTACAGCGTATTTCCTCTTACATATGTTAAATTTGGTATTCTTCGAATTTTCGCGTTCGACGAGCCTGTTCCGCATTCCCAAAGTCGAGTTTTTATTTATCTTATAGGTTACTCATAATTCTTTACCTTCTCCTCTCCGTATTTCCTCTCACGATAATTCATGTTTTGCGATATTTCACATTTTCTCTTCTGAGAAAATTGAGATTTGCTCATGTTGCAATCATTTATTTTTTATACTGTACGATATATTATTCTGGCTACGAATAATGCAGGTGGACTCCGCACAACAAAATGCAGGGGACCATAAAAAATTAATTGTGGAGATCATTTTGGTTGAAAAACCTCTGTAATATGGGTGAAGATCCCCTTGGGATCGACAAACTTTTTATGCAGAGAAAATCGTTGTAGAGAGTCTGCAGGTGCAGGCTATCTGTATACAGTACTGGTTGAGCAAAGATCTAATGAAACTTTATGTACTTCTGGTGACATCTATGTAACGGTAAGGAAAATTATTTTGTTGAAGGGTTTTGGCGTTGGAGGAAAATTACCTGGAATTGGTCCAGATTCTGTACGCATTGTTGATCTGCCTCAAGCTGTCAATTTTTTTATAATTCCATTTTTATAATATCATTAAATTAATCATATTTGGGAAGCTTTCTGGTTTGATTGGGGAATTGACGTGGATTCATTTTTTTCTTGATTCAGTTTTTGTACGGCGAAGATGGACTGGAAGTCGGGAAAACACCATATTTGGCGGACAAGAAAACTTTGGAACTTTTCCATCGTAATCGGCTGTCGAAAGGAGAATCGCGCAACGTCAAGAAATTCAAAACGGATTATTGTAATCCTGATTTTGAGACGGATCAATTACGGGTGAGTTATTGGATTTGCCTTTTTCTTTCTAATTTACAAGTTATTAAAACGTGAACTTTTCAATTGCAGTTATTCAGGATGAATAGATGTAAGACCGGGTAGTGATTCAGGTATTACAGTATACTGTATCACTATTCAAACCTGTGCGTATTTCTAGACGCTAGAGAACGCTTTCCAAGTTTTTACTGTTGGAAGCGAAAAGTCATCTCCAATTTTTTTCAATCGAATAAATTATGCATCGCTGTTTTGTATTTTTTTTTCAGATTATAACAGGTTAAATGACCGTAAAACTGTAGTGGGGACAAAATCCATTGAAATCGGTGGAAAACGGCTAATTGAAAACTATTCCTTTTTATTTGAAGGCATGTGAGTTCAGATTTGGATAAATTAATTAAAATATTTTCCTTCCGTCTTTCGAATAGATGCGCAAGCACTTCAAATGGTGCCGGAAAAACAACGTGAATATCTGTAATCGGTCGAATGCAACGAGAGCGAAACTGTCGCCCTTCTGCCATTTCTTTCGAGAGAAGTGCGATAGCAGTGTAGCTAGCGGAAGTTTCAAGGAAATGAAGGACAGAGCCGTAGATGAATGGCACGAAATGAGTTCGTACGAACGATCGAGATTCGTGAAGAAAGCGGGTGGTGGGAAAGTGCCAGATCCGTTGGTGTCGGATTACCCGTCTGCGAGAAATTTGGGTTCCCTTACGGAGAGGTTGGAAGAATTGATCGATTCTTACGCCGCAGAGAATGTATCTAAAAATGAGGCGGATGCATTCAGAGATCAGCTGCATTGGAAGGTAAATGCACTTCCGTCTCGACGAACCGATTACTGATATTTTGAGGATTCGGCGTAGTGTTGATTTTGTTTTTCCGAAACTGAAGCACTTATCCTCAATCGTAGATGGCCTGTGTAGAACAAAGATGAAAATTCTTCCTTTTTTAAGGATTTTTTTTTCGTGTTCCTTGCGTGGAATTTTTACTTGGCCTTGAACTACCGAAGTCTAACTCCTTGAGTTTCGTTACCATTTCGTAGATTTACAGTTCAACACTGTACTTTATATATTTTATTAAATCCTGGTTTCTTTAATTGGGCGTGGATAGGGTCAACTGGGTTTCTTCAGATTATTTTCAAAGGGTCAACAATTCAGGTGACGCCTGTATGACATTTTGTAAAGCAAGATCACGCGTTGGTTTAAAAATGAATTCTGTGCTGTGAAATACAATTTTGCATCTCGAAACAGTGGGCATGATGATAGCAATATCAAAATTTCGTCAAGGGTCTGACTAGTCAAGTGCAGCCTGGTGAAGCAGTCGGAATCGTTGCGGCGCAGTCACTGGGAGAACCCTCCACGCAGATGACGTTGAACACGTTCCACTTCGCGGGTCGAGGTGAAGTGAATATGACGCTTGGAATTCCTCGTTTACGTGAAATCCTGATGACCGCGACTCCAAATTTGAAGACACCGACAATGGAAGTTCCGTCTGTGCACAAAGACCCAGTGGTTGCTCGAGAAACATTGGATAAAATTGCAGTTCTATTCTGCGAAGTCAAGCTTCCGGACGTGTTGGAGAAAATTGACATTTATGAAGAGCTTGTGTTCAATGAGAAAGGAGAGTAAGTATTTCGAGCTTTCGGTCAACTGAGGGAAAAATATGTATCGTGATGAAGCCTTCTGTCGAAAGCCTATTCCTATTGATGATTGGGTTTGATCCTTCCTTGATTCACGAGCTTCTAATGAATATTTTTGATTTCTTGGATTATCGCCGCTTTTGTGCTCTGGAAAGATTTAAATCAAAAAGCTGAGTAGAAATGAATCATTTGGCTCTGGGAATGAATTCTTTAGTTGAAGGCCGAGAATGACTCGAAATTCTGTGAAAAGAACGTAATTGATGCAAATTTGACGTCTTCGGGCGAGGTTTTTCGATGTTGAAGGCTTCAGATATGAAGAAAATTACTGTTGTGTTTGTATCCTGACCTCATGCGAGAACTGCGCCGAATTTTCCAGATTTTGGCAATACCGCATTCGGATGTGTTACCTTCCGGAAAGTTCGTTCAAACAAACCAAGACTGTTTCCATTCTGGATGCCATCAACTACGTGGAAAGGAAATTTATTCGTAAACTTCTGATCGAAGTTCGAAAGAGGACCGGAGTGAAAACGTATGTTGAATACCGTATATGCCAGGGTTTTTATGCAAAATGTTGACGCATTCAACTGAAATGCTGTCATGACGGATTGTTTTTTTCTGCATGACGCATGATTCAAACGTAAATCAATGAATAAATTTGGAAACAGTAAAAAAATGTGCGGAATAGTTTCACAAAAGATGAAATTTAAACAGATGAAAATGTAAGAAGTGTGGAATCATTCTAAATTTTAAGGTACATTACAAGGTTTGATTAAAATATTTTTCATAACCCTCGTGCTGAAAGATTTAAATTCACGAAATTCTGGCAGATGTGTCTGCTACCGACAAAGAAAATTCAATTTCAGCGATCGGATCAATTGATGTTTTCCCTTACTATAGTAATTTCCTGTTCACCCCTCGAGTCTTGTGGACTCACATTCGGTTCCAAGGGCAGAAAACTTCAATAGAATAAAATAGAATGAAAATCCAATATTTTCGACCATCATCGATGATGGCTTCTGGGTAACCGCGAACTTCTGAAAAACCCGCGGTGGCTCTATTTTGGGCGGAAGTTCATTTATTTTCCCTTTGACGGTGAGATTCTCAGTGGCGTTACTTGAGAAGACTCTTTGAGCGGCTTTTTTATTAGATATACTGTACTGTATACAAGCGGAAGTTATGGTATGTTTTTTTTTTATTCACACACTAGGAATCTTTTGGAATTGACGAAGAGATCGGGCGACGATGACGGCATTCCCGAACGCGAACAGGCTGATGAAGATGATTGGACGTTGACGTGGAAAAAAGGCGCAAGCCGCGTCGCGCTCGGTGAAGCCGCAGAAAACCGCGACGAATCCGATGATGATCAGGACAACGCTGAAAAAGATGCGACGGAAGCGAAACAAGCCGCTCGAGACGATGATGAGCAAGAAGATGAGTTTGAACCCGAGGCTGATGAAGTTATTCCAGAGAGAACTGACGCGATTTTCAACGAAGACCTCGACGATGACAATGTCGATGCACCAGTAGAAAGTGAATCCTTTTGTGAAGATCAGGAGCGGGAGGAGATCGAAGACTCTCAAGTCACAAAGAAAAAATCGCGGTCAAAGGCTAAGAAACTTCTTGCGTTAGAGATGGACAAGCGTTACGTGCAAGTCAAGAACATCGATCCAGCAATGCTGGAGTATGCAATCGATCTTGAAAACTTGGATTGGAACGAATTCACGTTTGCCGTAAGCACCATACTGATTCTGACGTAATTGTGACTCCGCTTGACAAGTCTTCGGAAGCAACCTTTTTAAATGATGGCGATGGTCTTACCATTTATGCACGCTTCCTGCTTCCTAAATCTTAATATAACCGTTAAAGTGGGTTGATCCAGCTTTTCTTGTATTTTTCTCAACCGCACTGTATTTTTCTTTGCGGTTGAGGAAACATCCTTGACGAAATTTTCTTTTCATGCATGAACTGTTTTCCTTCGTCAGGTGCCTGCAAATCATACTCAAGTTGACATGTATGAGATTACGAACGACGTCGCTACGCGGAGTGTGTTGCATAGGCTCCCGAATATCACGAAAGCAGTTGTGTTCGATCAACGTGATGAACCTTGGTTGAGAACACAAGGGATCAACTTTGCGGTGAACTTCGATTTTTTAATACTACTGTATCATGACATTAGCATTCGATCGTGCGTATATGACAAAAAAACATACATTACTATATTTTTGCCATTCGGTGTACATCAGTGGTTCCAGGTGTCCTTTTCCGCACCATGATGAGAAAAGAGTTTAGAAAACTTGTCCACCAACCAGAAAATTGGAAGTAATCGGAGATTAATGCGAGTCATGTGCGTATCAAGAGCATCGACCCCGCAATGCTGGATATTGTGATCAATCTCAAAACTTTGATCAACCGTGTTTTACTTCGGGCGTTTTTTCACGTGGACGATTGAAGCAAATTGCGAATACTGTACTTTGATCTTGAAAAAAATGTCGGCAGCAAACTTACGCAATGATGATGACAGGCTTACCTTTTCAGCACGCTTTCCGCTTCATGAAACGAGAATAAAGGGCTGATTTGAATCGTGAAAACGAAGACGAAGTGTGTTTTTGTCGCGGTTGAAATGTCATCCCTTGCGAAATTAATTTCCATTGATCAATTGTTCTACAATATTCTTACACATCATACTGTGTACTGAAGAAATATGAACTGGGGAAAAAATGAGTGACGAACGAATCAGTTTTATGAAGTTCACCAAGGTATTCGTGTTCAAAAAAAAATAAAAAAACGGTAATACCGTTGTATTAATTTTCGCCATTTGTTTCAGTTCATTCATACGTGTGGAGAAATACCGTCAGAGAAGCCTTTGGTGACTAACCTAACTAGGGCAAACGCGTAGAATGAGAGAAAATTTATGTCTGAGGCGTTGAACTTGTAGCCTATGATTTTTCTTTTCAAACTCCTGTGAATAATTTATGTAGAGCAAAGATGATACAATGAACTCTTTTTCAAACTTTGCAGGAGTTGTATAACTTCGATAAGGAGCTCAAGTTGGACCGTCTACGTAGTAACTCGATTCACGATATGGCGGCTGTGTATGGAATTGAAGCTGCCGCGCAGACTATCGTATTGGTACGACTTGAATTTGGCGGCTTTGTCCGTATGTTCCTAATGTGTGTTCTCATATTCATGTCTTCAGGAGTTGCAGAATGTTTTCGGAGTTTACGGAATTGACGTGAATCGTCGACACTTATCGTTAGTGGCTGATTACATGACGCTGAGTGGAAAGATACGAGGATTCAATAGGTCTGGCATTGAACATAGTCCGAGTCCGTTTCAGAAGATCACTTTTGAAACCGCGACTGGATTCTTGAAGTCATCCATTATAAACGGTAAGTTAATTTTTAGTCTTCCGACGACCGACTGTGCATTACCTGGTTGTTTTTTTTTAATATGTCTTTCCAGCTGAGGTTGATTCGTTGAATTCCGTGTCATCCAGCCTTATCGTCGGAACGGAATCAAAACTGGGAACTGGTGCATCATGCCCGTTTTTGTCACTTGAGCTGCAAGAAAAATACATTGCGGAGCTCTGAGAATTTGTCTTAATTTCTTATTCTTTTAAAAGTGTTGCATTACTGCACTGGTATCGAGGAGTTAGTTTGCGAATGCATGTTTCTACTGCCCATTGATACTTCTCTAATTTCCAGGGAAATTTGGATTTTTACGTTAGCTTTTTGATCGCAAGTTTGGAATTTTACTTAGTTGCTTTCAGTATGTCAAACGTAAATCCAATTGAGGATTTTGATGCCTGGTATCGTCTTGCGTACGAGGAAATCGACGCTGGACTGAAAGCTGAAACGGATGGTGAAATTGATGCGGTAAGCGTAAAGTATTTGAAGTAGATGAGTCTCAACTCGTCTGACCGATTTTGTTTGCACTTTCAATGATTAAAGGCGAAAGAAAGATACAACAAAGGTTTGGGATATATTGACCGATGTCTTGCCATTCCGCATGACGGAGCGGGTCAGGTTGGACCTTTGTGGGATAAATTGCGTCGTCAGCGCCAAAAAATTCTTACAACGAGGTAAAAATATTATTTTATTCTTTTGCAGCTTTTTTTCCTGCGAGCTTCTGTTTTTTTCCCTTGAAAATTCTTGAAATTGTTTTTGCTCGAAAATATGTGGAACAATGGCCATATACAGTACTAGTTTCGTTTGGTTTGGTCTGCGTTCCAAGTCCCAAATGTTTTGGGAATTTTTTCATTAAACGTATACATAACTTTGATCTCATCTAATAGAATATGCTCCTTGGTTTTATTAATCTTTCAAGCTAGAAAAGAGCTTACCAGCAATTCCGAAGTGCTCTCCCGTTTTCGAATATGCCAGAACTTCATTAGACTTCTATTTGATAAAACGTACAGTTTGCCAATTTTTAAATGAAAATGTGTTCTCAACCCCGGTATTGCTATAAGGAATTGAAATTTTGGACTTGAATACAGTACATTTTCTGTCAGGTAAAATACTCTTGCGAATGATTACCGCGTCAGTGTGAAAAAGTATTGCCGATGAAAAAAAAAATTGGCAGAGGCTTCCTTGAATTTTCACTTATATCTGTGCTTGACTGTGTCAAGAATCAAGTTCATATAAGGTTTAGTCTTATTTTTACTGGTAGAAAGATGATGAGATAAAAGACGTTGACCATTTTTGCGGGTCACATATTTGATAAAATAACGTCCATCTCGAATTTGTGGAAATGTGCTAGTTCTTTTGCCTAATACGGTATTCCCGAATTTCTGAACCGAAGAAAGCGAGGAGACAATCTTTTTCTTGAAGAATTAAATTGTGTTTATGTGCCTTTCGTTTAGGAGTTAGATTCAGTGTACCTAAAAGAACGTTTCATCTCCTGTTTTGTTCAAAGGAATGAAGTCTTGAAAAGAGTGACGGACGAAAAAGTGAAACCACTGTATCCGCCGACGGTTTCACTGGAACGAGCTTTAGTCGCAGGAGTTCCCGAAGATTCCGGCTTGACAACGCCAGTACCAGATGCTGACGCCGAACAACTCCTTTTCATCCCGAATGGAGTTCAGATCTTCTTCATCAGGCCTCCGAATGAGGTCCAGGCACCGTCTAGTCCAGGTTCCCTTCTCATCTACAAGATGAAGCTCGGTTGGTGAAACTACTTTCATTCTGCCGGTTTTATGGTAAAAATAACGTTACCTTTGATCACAGCTTCTGGCGAAAAATATTTTCTGAAGGCTGGCAATTGGATATACCCATTAATTCCTGGTGAATCGCCGGTGCTCTTCAGCCGAGAAGGGTACTTCGTTTTCCCTGATCTGTCCAATTCGATGCCAGGTTCGTGGATTTAATGTAGAAGTTGTGCATGTTTTTTTTCGCTTGAATTCTTGATGTCTTTAGGAAACTCCATCGGTATTATGTTATCGAACGATACGGGGGCTGAAGTACGAGATTTACTCCGTGATATTTTGAATACATTGACTCAGATGGTCGATGAGGGTCCGGAAAAGGTGAGGAAGAATTTCGTGTAAATTGATGAGATTCAAGCATATTTTTGTATTCTTTAGCAAGGAGTTATTGTGGAGGAAATCGAAGAAGAGACGCCGGGCACAGGACAAATCTTCGCCAATGGTTTGATCCGTGGTTTGTTGCTTGAAAGTAGATTTGCGTTGCAACTCCTCATTATTTGTATTTGACCGCTTCTGTTGATGCAGATATGAAATTCATGAATTTTTAATGTATTACGTGAGATGGGTTTGCTGAAAGAATGAAGATCATTGGCAAATAATTTATTATTGGCACCAACATTGTTATTGTTCGTTGAAAGGGCCTGTTTGTCGAGAAGGTTCAAAACTTCAGTCGTCATACATCGTAACACAATGCATAATCATAAAACTTGACCGTCTTTCTCACTTTCTCTTGTGTACGAGTGGTATATCGATCTGTAAATGTAAGTATCTGTAAATGTCGGCCTTTTTTTATTAGAAAAAGAACTTATCATTTTATTTTCTGGACTTCCAGTTATCTTCATTTAAAAAAATTCAGTTTTATATCGATCTGAACACATTTTTACTCTGGTTATTCATTCAAAACAGTATTGTGAGGGACTGCAAATGTCTCTATCTCTAAATCATTTGTTTGGCAAACCAAACTAAAATTTAAAGAAGGGGTTTTGAAGCCTTTGGATTAAAGTTTTTTAGTATGCGGAAGGAATTTCATCCCTTTTGTCAACTGAATTGCGCACCGCATCTGGTACGCGGAGCATTTTCATTGCGCAAAATATTGCATAATTGCTAGCGGGACGATGTTGCCTGGTCCAAATGAGGCTTTCAAAAGACCCTCATCTAAAGCAAAATTCCCGAGTAAAAAACCCCCATCACCTGGTAACTCATGTTCTTCGGGGAAGGGCGACCGTAATACAGCACTTGCTGCACGTTTGATTTTCTGCTTATTGCTTTCTAATTCCACGTTATCGATGCACCTAGAGTTTCTGCTCGTGAATTCCGGGTTAGGTTGCTAATTTTTCTTCCACAATCTTCATCTTTAATCGTTTTGAAAGTCACGGTACCGCACATATCTCGCCTCATTCATGTGAATGGATTTTAATTTTGAATGTATGAATTTTGTCTTGTCCGAAAGGCGCGGAAAAGTTGGCGAGAGGCATCATGCAGACTGCTGGTGTTGCAAGTAGCTTGTTCGACAAAACAGCGGCGAAATTCACTTCCAATCCTCGACCAGCTGATCGTGTAAGTTCCGAAATCGACCCTCGAGTCGTTTCCAGTCTTCGCATCGCCCGTGGCGTCGGAAGCACTGCCGTCAAGGTCAGTGGCACTCTGGTGTCAGCAGTCGGTATGTAATTCATTCGCCAATTTCCGTATGTAAGAGGAAGTACAGCATAGATTCGTTCTTTAATCAGGGAAAGCTACCATGGCACTGGGACGAGCCGCCGCTCCGCACATTGAGAAACAGGGCACAAAACTAATTGCTAAAACGACCGGACGGAACTCTGCGCAGGCGGGAGAAACCGTTGATACAGTGATGGACGTGGCAGCGGGCGCCCTCACGGGCTTTGGGACAGTTTTCATGAGTCTGGAAGAAGCTGCAAAGATTGTCGCTGACAGTGCTCGAAAAAATACCGTGACCGTCGTTTCACATCAGTGCGTTTCGTTGAACCTTTTAATGAGATATTGTCCATGTACAGTAATGTACTCTCAAAAGTCAGTATAAATTTGTTTTAAATGCGAATCAAGCATCTGTCATGGTCCAGGTAGCCGAACTTTTCAACATCACGGACTTGAGTCAGTCATGCCGTAGGAGTATATATGGTTAATTTATTGTACAGTACGCCAATCCTGATGATTGAATTCGTAAGTTCTGTTTGACGATATATCTGACGACCGCACACACTGAAATTTTTAATTTTTGTTCAGTATCTAGGGAAACGATGCCAGTCAAGATTATAAAATCGTACTTGAAAATTGTCTGCATAACTTTTTCCTATGAAATATTTTTCCAACAAAATTTTTTTTTTCATCGGAAGTGGGAATGAAAATTGTTACAGGTACTGATACATCCATGCGTAATTTCAGAGGTATGATCCTTTACAATATCCTCGAGAACTATGTGAATCTCAATACCGCCAGGTTTCCCCAAATTTAACGCAAACGATTCGTGATGAACCCAAATCATCAATGGTTTGGCACTTGTATTGGCAAATATTACACGTACAGATGAAAATTTTAAATTTTTTGTGGAATGCTTTAGTGTTGGATCAATAAAGCTGAGTAAGGTGTTCTGATTGATGAAGAGTACCGAGTGTTGAAGAATTGTGGATGTATCGGCTAGGGGAAAAATTGTGGGCTCAAACTTGGTATCACTTACGCCTGAAGATTTTGTAGTCTCAAGCTAGTCATCGTACTTTTTTTTTTCCTGTCAAAGTGAGAGTATTGAAGAGCGCTTCTATTGACATTCAGCTATGGACGCAATGCTGCCGAAGCCACAGACAACGCTTTGTCAACCATGGGATACGCGGCCATGACCACGTACAACGTTGGAAATCTGGGTGTGAAAGGAGTTGCGAAACAAGCCGCTAAGAATACTGGCAAAGTTATCATCGAAAATCATCAGCAACGACGTGAGGAACGCCGAGGTGTCGGAGGATCAGCCACTCGCATAACGCATGCCCCATTGTATCCTGCGATTGAGGATGAGACATCGCACGAATCCTCTAGCCGTGACCTCAGTCAGCGATAGCATATTTTAGCTTTCGAATCGCGACTTGTATTCGATGATTGAGATTGTTTGAAAAGAAAGAAAGCTTTGCTAGAAATGAAGCAATACCAGTGCACGTAAAATATACGCATACGTTAAAGATCTTCGTCGCAATCATGACGAAATATTTGGAAAATTGTGGTGCAGAGTCCGGGTGGAAAATGTTGAGCTTGAAGAAATTATTATTTCCGGAAGCCGTTCTAATGCCCTATATCCTTTTTTTTCCTGATTTTTCCGGTATTGTTTGCTCATTTTAATTGCATCTTTAACTAATTCAAAGCCAGGAGGAAGTTCATTAAGTGATCTTCGTAAATCTGAAGTAACATTATCCACTCATTTTTTTATCCTACTCTTGACTGCTGAGACAGTTAATGTAATCATTGCGATTCATGTTTTTCTTTTGAACAAAAAATGTGCAGTTGAAGATACTTTCAAGAACGCACTTCTATGTGGTGGAGGAATGCGAAATTGTACTTCTATAGTTCCCAAGGATGAACCCCGAAGATTCTCAACCCCCAACAAAAAACGTTTGATTTTGAAAAAAAAAAAAAAGTTTTGCGTTTTGTCATTCTCGAAGCTTTTTTCGAAGTTCTTTGTGATCAATACACATTTATTTTTTTGAATGATGTATCACTATGGGCGTCAAATAGCCTTGGTTCTGGATAATTTTTGAAATTTTTATTTTTTTCAGTATTGGCCGAGTGTTGGTCATGAATGACCTTCCACCCTCTTACGAGGAGGCGGTCGCAGCTTCCTATTGTGAATTGAATGTGAGACTCGTGTTCACTGTACCTAATGTTACAACCAACACCGTTCATCGGGCTTCCTCGCTGTATTTGTACGAACTAGCGCCAGGTTAGGGTCAGGATGGCCTCTTTCAATTTACAGTTCTTTATTTACTTGAGTACCACGCGCACCTGATTTTATCATCCTAAAATTTGGAAAACAATTTCATCCCCGAGTAAGACCCATTTTTAATGGGAGAAAAGTTGCGAACTTTTCGAAGTAAAACATATCAGAATTCTTGAGTTGAATTGGACCTGAATTGAATTATTTTTCAAATATTTTTTACTAAAATTTTATTTCTGGAAATTTTCTACTAGAATCGTGTATAACTCACACTTGAATTGAAAATTTGGAATATTGTACAGTATTTTCGAAATTGTATATCCTCCTATGGCGTACACACTCTTTCTCCCGTATAATTTCGAAACAAATGTGCTCGTGTTACTCGTGTAAATACGTTACTTGCCAAGTTTGGGCTGATGATGAAAGGATTGTTTCCTGAAAGGCGGAAGATGGTTTCTGAAAGTGGAGGATTGGATTTGGCCTTTGCTACCCGAGCGAACAAGATTTTCGTTGGACATGAACGGCTGTCTTACGTTGGAAGTCGATCAAGAAGGGAATGAATTTCCGATAATGCACGGCGTGGTTTATGGAATATCGTCGAACTACGGATATAATCTGGCAAAAATATTGCAGGACATTGGCATCAGCCTGAAACCGGGATTGAATTTGCCGAGGGCTGCTACTTCCGTGTGTACTCGGATTATAATACTGTATGTCTGAAACGCGCTAAACTCTAAAAAAATTTTTTTTTTTTCGCAGGCCAAAGTTGATGCTGGACAAGTACTTCAGAACACGTTTCTGTCAGGTATGTTGGACCGGTTTCTTCGTTTTTTCAAGACGGTGTTCGAAGACGCAATAAACGTTTACCGCACTGTTCGATGTATAACTGTTCAGCATTTCGCGGGAGAGTGAGACAGTTTAGAGTTGGAAGATCTGGATAATCTCCCGTCTTGCGCATCCCCCCCGACATTTGATGATTTTACCGTGTACTGTGAGAAAAGGAGATTGGCCCGAGTGAACCCTTTCATCCGAGTTTGATTTCATAGTTCAGAACCTTTCAGTATTTCTCGAAAGGTCTCGGTGCGATCCGAAATCCTAAAAAATAAATCGATCCTTGTCGTAATGCCCCTAAATCATTAATGATGTTGAAGATTCAGAAGTGGTACAGTAATTGTCAATTGTTACTGAGCTCGAAGTTTTAGAATGCTTCAATTCTTGGACTAATGCAGCTGAAATATGCTCCGAAATCGGCGAAGATTGTGTTGGAAATCGGGGGAAATATAATTACTGTACCTTGAAATTTAAATTTTTTTTGCGACGTCCATTTTTTTCCTTCTTAAATTAGACAGCCCCCGTTTTCCCTATCTTGCCGTCAGTATTTGCTAGCAATCTTTGCCTCCAATAAGTGACTTGCACTAATGAATCGATTTCTCAATACTGCATCTTCCACGAAGGAACCGAATGGGTTGCGACCTTCTTGATGTGGTCGGCCTTCTTTGCTCATTCATTCTTCACTCGCCGCGCAAATCACCTCAAGTCGATCATGCCTCCGGTAGAAAAGGAAGTCCACGTAGATCAACGAATCGTGAAAGGGTTTCAAATGTTCAAGTCCGCTGGAGAAGCAGTTACAAGTGTTGTAGGCATTGTGGGTGAGTCTTGACATGAGATAGTTTTAGCGCGTCGCAAATCAGTTTTGCTGATCAGTTTTAATTATTTTTCTATTTATTGATGTGGTTTTAACCGCTCTAGGTTTAGCGAATGATCAGAATATCAGTTATGTTATGTTCTATGTGTGATGATCCGTTTTATTCTTCGTGAAAGAGGCTCATGGTAATTTTTGCTGGAAATCGTATTTTTAACTACGTGCGAAGTTTTTTGACTTCAGATGAAGTTTTCGAGACAGGTTTACATGAACTTTTTATCGGTGATTCAATCTGTTCGATTGTGATCACTTCTTGTAGAATGTTGACAGTCCGTATGTAAAGATTTCTGGACAAGGTTTCGTTGGGTTTTAACATGATTTTTGAGAAAATCTGAATGGTCCATTGTTTCATCGCTGCACGTGACATTCGGATTTTATTTATTTTGGCAAACGTAGGTGAAGCTGCGGGTGGGGCGGCGAAGTGCGTCTCAAATTCCGTGTCACCTTATATCGTTGATGGGTTGGCTGCTGTTTACCCCTCTGGCCAGGGATCATCAGGAGTTGTCCAGTCAGTTAAAGCAGCTGCCTGTGTGGCCTGTGAAGGTTTCGAGAAGATTCGATTTTCAATGGTGAACGGAATGGCGTTGGTTGGGCACAGCGCGCGAAACAATTGTGCATCTGTCATTGCGCATAAGTGAGTAGGCAAAAGTTGTGAATGCGAAGTGAATTCCAGTAGTACGTACACCGTAGATTCGTTAGACAGCACTTTTTACATGTCAAATTAGTTTGATCTTTCTTTCTTACCTCTTATAAATTTAAACGCGAGGCTCTTTCCTGGCCTGATGGGTGACCTCTAGGTTCAGCTCCGATGACTGCATACATTTCAGGAACAAATACTGTACGTCTAGTCTGGATTTGTTCGACAGCAGCGCTTAAATGTCAATTAGTTTGATCTTTAATTTCATTTGACCAATTCCCGCCCCTTGCCATGCAGCCTTCTTTCTAGAAATCATGTCACCTTCTTTATTTTAAATGCGTTTGCCTGGGTGGAACCAGAATAAGGGTATCTTTAATTTTGCTCCTTGAGAGAATCCCGGCATTCACGGTGCTTCTCTGGAAAGGTGGATTTATGAGAATACAGTACGTCATTTTTTAAAAAGGCCCGCAATATTTTTTAGGATATTTTTGAAGAATAATTTTTTTCCATTCCTACTCTGCACTGCACATGTGCTCATCTGCATCGTTTTCCATCTGTTGAACAAAATTAATTTTCGCAGCATTATGCTCGCTAAACCAATCGTTATACAGTTCTTAGGCCGGAGTTTTGAAAACGTTTACTGCATAACATTTTTTCCCTGCCTTCCAAAAAAAAAGTATAAATGCATACGTACTCCAGTTACTCTGGTATTGCTTTTAAGGAGATTTATCGTTCAAGGGGAATTTTGATTTTGCTTTTAACTTTCAGGTTTGGCGACGAAATGGGAATCGCCGTGGATGAAGCGATGGACGCAGTTGGAGGGGCTGCAGCAGCGTCGTACTATTACAACATGATGACACCGAGAGGAATTCTGCAATTGGCTGTATTGGGTACATCGTCTTCTGCGGAAAAACCAACCAATCACGAGGCGCCCGGAAGTCAACCACAAAACGAGAAGGACGAGTTCATGCCATCTGCTCCCCCTGTAGATTTTTTCGACGATTTTGAGCTTTTGGATACGGACGTGTTTGTTGATGAGAAACAATGAGTGACATTTGTATCGTGGGTTTCGGATTGATTTTGTGATGAGTGGAAACGACTGGAATACTTGGTGATGAATTAATGTTACGCGTGCTGTGAAAAGTTGAAAAGTAAAGTGATTTTTTCGACGAAGCTGTGTTTGCCTTTCGATTACTCTATTGCTGTCGCTGAAAAATCAGATTGTCGTGATTGTTTCGGAAGTATTCTTGATTTACAGAATTTTTGGGGGGGAAGTGAGAAATGATGCCCACGAAACATCCATTGACGTTCAGCGTGATTGCGGAGTGTGCAAGGACAAAGGCCAGAACAGCGATCTTGACGCTTCCGCATGCTACTTTAGAAACCCCGGTGTTTATGCCTGTCGGAACAAAGGTTTGTTTTGTTGAATTGCATTGAAATAGCTCTGGGTTTTCATCTGAAAAAAAAAATGTTGTGCTGCACGCGTTTCAAGGGAACCATGAAAGGATTATTGCCGGAACAGTTGGAGGATCTCAATTGCAGAATGATGCTCAGCAACACGTATCACTTGGGCACGAATCCCGTAAGAACGATTAAATCCTGTTTTAAATGTGTGTTTTCGGAACGCAAATTATATTTGAAGGGACCAGATCTGCTGGATAAAGCGAAGGGTCTGCATTCTTTCATGCATTGGAGAAATGGCTTGCTAACCGATTCCGGTGGATTCCAAATGGTATCTTTGTTGAAGTTAGCTCGAATAACCGAGGAAGGAGTTACGTTCAAATCTCCATATGACGGTTAGTTTCATTTAGGTTTTCTTTTTATAAAAATGTAAAACGTGTTTGAAGAAATTTATATGCTGTATGCAGAGAATAATTTCTGAAAGCCGCATGGAATTATACAAAATTAACAGAAGTTCGTGGATCGAGATTTTTCAAAAGTAGAAGGGTTGATTTAACAATTTCCGAGTGTTTTCTCATCATGACAAATTTACTCAAGTAAATACGAGGAGCCGTTTTTGAAGGGTTATTGGGAGCTTTTTTCTTCATTATGAAAAGTCGGAAAACAATGAAACTGCTATCGTACGTGTTATTGTGAACATATATTTTTCTCGAGCGCTATTATCGTACCAAACTTCGGCTATGTGAGCCTTGAGCTACCCTTGTCCCGAAACAACTTCCGAAAGAATCTTGATTTTTAAATAGTCAAAATACCTCTCGAGATATGGCATGAGTATTATGAACATACCTGATGTTCAGTACTTCGTTGGTTGAAGAAGTCGCCATGGGGACTTATATTTTTTGAAAGTCACGATTTTGAAAATGAGTTACTGTACTACATTTTTGTGTATCTTCCGTAGATTCCGAATGTCTTCTGACTCCCGAAAGGTCGATAGAAATACAGAACTCGATCGGTGCAGATATCATCATGCAATTAGATGATGTGGTTTCTTCAACTCTGCAAGACCGTAACAGGGTTGAAGAAGCTATGCACAGGCCAGTTACATTGTTTATTTACAATTGTGTCTTCACTGATTGAACCATTTTTTTTCTTTCTTTACCACTTCAATTTACAGGACAATACGTTGGCTGGACCGGTGCTTGAAAGCCCACAAGAAGCCGGAAAAACAGTGCATTTTTCCGATAGTTCAAGGAGGACTTTTCTCTGATTTGCGTGAGGAGTGTGCCAAATCATTGTTGCTACGCGATGTAGCGGGATATGCGATCGGCGGTTTGAGGTATGATGAAAAACAGGGCCAGAAAAAGAAAACGAAAAAGATTAAAAAATACGTTCTTCGGAGAATTTCGTTGTAGATAAACTCTGTACTACAATATGAAGGGTAGAGACCTCTATGGGATAAAAAAAATTGCAATGAAAAAATAAAAATAGTTTTAGAGAGAGGATACCTGAATCGAATCTGGAGATGTTGAAAAAAAGGATGATGCACTGCGTCCGTTGCTCAGGGAAATGTGAATCCTACTCAAACAAAGCCATTAAAATAATTTCAACCACAGTTGGTCTGACGTCAGAGGAGCTTCGAGGGAGCTTCGCCATGAAATTTATTATGGAAATGCTGGCTTCACTTCTTTAGTTTTGGAATGTTCCCGCGGATCGGAAGTGTTGTAGGGACTAAAAATAATGTATCCGAATTGCTTTTAACGGGTTTCTCATTCATTTTTAACCGAAATCGAAATTATTTTTCCAGCGGAGGCGAAGAAAAAGCGGATTTCTGGAGAATGGTTACACTGTCGACGGGCATTCTGCCCCGTGATAAACCCCGCTATTTGATGGGGGTCGGCGTTGCTGCTGATCTTGTTGTATGTGTGGCTTTGGGTGTCGATATGTTCGACTGCGTCTTCCCCACGCGAACTGCGGTGAGTACTAATATAATACTACAATCCATAGTGAGAGCTGTATTTGATTTCCAAGTATTCGCATCACCACACTTTTTTTTATGACTGGAGAAATTGGAAGTACAATTGCAATTTCTACATCAAATACTAAAAAAATAATTGCTTTTTTAAAATTATTTAATTATTTTTATACTTTTAGAAGAGACAGGGTTACGTTTTCTGGATTCTTGCAGATGGTCTTGGTATTATTACGAAAATAATGTACCGGGGTTTGCGCCAAAATTAAAATTTAACGAAAAACCTCAAGTGAAGGAAAATCAATATTGCAGGAGTGAATTTACGAATTGGCTTGAAGGTTTATTCAATCCACTTCAGAAACCCGAAGTTGCATTCAATTTGGCGTGAATTTGACATACTCTGCGCCAAATTAAGATTAAGTTCAAAAATGATTTGTATATTACCATACTTCTCCAGTTCAGGTGAGTGGATCAGGATAGGTTAGCTGCAATTTTCTAGTAATACTTAAGATATTCTATTCTATTGAAAGTCCGATGCTGGAAACCCGATCTTTCAATTTTCGTCTGCCTTTTTTGTCGTGAGTTTCAGTTGCATTTTTTTTACCAAGACTTGGTTCGAGCGCGAAAGATACTGAAAGATTTTGCTCGAATACCTGTTCATCGGTATTACAAATTTCACTCGATTTACGCTTCCTGAAGCAGCATCAGATAATTCGCGAAGTTATCCACGCAGAGGGTTCCTATCACTTTTTCGTGAACACCTTTTTGGCGATTATTCACTGACACCTATTATGATCAATTATTTTTCCGTATCCAAATTGTTTTATGTTTGTCGACAGCGATTTGGTTCAGCACTCGTCGACTCCGGCAACCTTTACTTGAAGCATAAAAGGTTCGCAAAGGACTTCTCCCCTATCGACCCTGAGTGTGAATGCTCAACGTGTAAGCGGCATACGAGAGCCTTTCTGCATTCCGTCGTCACAGTGGAGGCGTCAGCGTGTCATCTCCTCAGTGTGCACAACATTGCCTACCAAGTTAGTTTTTCACAATTTTTTATGTCGTGCTGGGAGGTCCGTTTCTTCCTCAGCTTACAGCGTGGCAGTTTGAAAAATAATGCCGGAAGCAGTTCGTATGCTTCTATAACCTGTTATGTGGTGAAGGGGAGACATTGATGATAGCTGGGAAAGCCTGAGTCATCGAGTGTGTAAAGTAGGAGCTGAGTGGACAACCTCGAAGCCGTCATCCGTAAATGACCCAGATCGAATATGCGTCGAAAATAGATCTACGAGCAAAATACTTTCTATCTTCAGGGATCGAAAATTGCGCGCCAAAGTGTAACAGTGCGCTGCCAAATCCGAGTTTGAAAATCTTGCCGAGAGTCATACGTCGGATTGGGTCGCATGATAGTCCGGTTTTGAAATAGATGTTGAAACCGACCTTGTTCGGGTCACACTAATTGACGCTGACCCAACTTCTCAGGCATGCGGATATGGAGAAATCTCCAATTTATGTTGTGGCACTGCAACATATGTTACTGATATGATATTTATCAGCCATTTCAAACTACTGTATTAAAATACAGTACGTGCCGTAACGAGTTTTGAATGTGAAAGCGCTGTACTTTTCTGTAAAGAAAAAATTGAGTTGTAAGAAGATCTCGGTCGTGTGGTAATCACGGTAAAGTACTTACTGAGGGCACGTACAAATTTCTTGGAGTAAAAGTGCGATTTCAATCGAAGAAGATCTCTGATTGATAATAGGAAAGTTGAGCAGCGTGGGGATATTTGTCATGTCTGCGAAAAAAGCGTGACTTTAGCTCTGGACACTAAAAGTAAAAATAAAAGGAGGACTCAGAGTGTTATAGATCCTTTTTCAAATAATTCTCATCTTTGTCAGCCTGGGTGTTCGGAAAGAAAGGTCACTGGGAAATTATTTGGAAAATCACTCGTAATACAAAATATATGTATCTGAATGCTCACCTGCAGTCAATGCAACTCGCGGACGTCCGGAAAAACTTCTATTTGCCGGAAGTGAGCAAAAATACCGTATTTCCTCGAGTTCCACGTGCGCTCGATTATGACTCGCACCTAATTTTTTTTTTGCATGAAATCTGCCTTTAAATGCATCCCCGCATAAGCCGCGCACACCAATCTTAAACGGTTTAAAACTATTTTTTAATTACGGTATGTTGAGCAAGGTAATTTCATAAGTTCCGTATATATAATATGATAGGGCATTCTGAGTAGATTTAGGCCGAACAGAATTCTCCGTTCATTATTTGCACCTAAAAACTTATCACTTATGGCTCGCAACACTAATTTCCTAATTTATTTTTTTGCTCCAGAATTGGTACACCCACATACCACGCGCACAACCAACTTTTCTGCCTTGATTTGATTTGCAAAAAAAAAAAAAGGTGCACGTGGTACTCGAGTGAATACAGGTTTAGTACTTAATTAATTTGCCGGAAAAGAATGTTACTGTTGGTCAACTACCGGATGTATTCACAGGCTCTCTTCTGGTTTCCAGCAAGTTTTCCGAGAATCGTGCCCAGTGAGGCAATCTTCTCGAGACCCGATTGCGGTTTTTCCCCCCGTGAATGAGACAGTCCGTAAATGGCATCCGCGATTGCGTCACACAGTCTTCGCGGGGAAAAGCAGAGAGGGAGAAAAAAAACAGTCTTGTCAACTTGGCTTCCTTCTGCTCTTCTGTGTTCGACTTGAGAACAATCACTTTCTCTCTTTCCTCGTCGTGTGACGAAGTACAGTAAGTTTCCGGTCAAATCTCGCAAAAAAAAAATACAATGATGTCTGACCGGGAACTTGGCAAAGGGTAATCCGTCGATCGTCGTCATAAAATGAGAGGTTGGGGACTTAATTTGAGATCAGTCGCCAGCACGAATGATGATGTATTAAAGACACCATGCAAATGTCCCCGAAATTAAGGTACGGTAGAAAACTGTAGTGCGAGTGGAAACCGATCAAGAACAGCGCAAAAAAAAAAATATAGTCGTGTTGTCTCTGAATATATCAATAAAATTAGCCATCGAGCGCTTGGGAATATTCCTCAGTAGATATTCCGCGTATGTTATGTGATTTGGCTGTTGTAAAAATCTTGTTAATTTGTCGGGCATCGAAGTCAGAGGATTTTTTGTGCGCGTTTCAGGTAGGTGACTGTGATCGGAATGAAGTACTGTAATTCTTACCTGTCCAACACATGTCTAGAGAAATACAAGATTAAAAGAAGGTCTAAAAGATTGAGATGTTTTGGAATTTTTCATACTCTTCTTATTATTTTCTTGCCATTTCTTTCAGAGCAACGGATTCTAACACAAACGATTTGCAAAATTCACTGACACCGAGAAACTGGTTCGCACAGACATTCTTTTGTTTTTGGTGGTTGCTTCAAAATTTCTTTTAGTTTTGTTACTTTTGTACAGTACCTTGAATTGAAATTTTAGGGCGCACGATTTTTTTTAATAATCCTTTTAACCACTGTGAGATCAATAAGACTAGGAACAATCTTCTGTCCGTTTGCAACATATTTTGTTCTATTGCATTCCTGTAAATTGGTTGGCTTCTTGCTCGCCAATTATTGATTGATGGCTACCTCAATGTTTGGCACTATTGACATGTGAAATTTATTTAGGTCAGAAATATGTTTAATTCACAATGATCGTCGAATTCGGGACGCACTTGCTGATGAGGTTTCTCAATTGTTCGAAGCGCTAAACAAAATTTTGTAACATCGAGAGTGCTTGGGAATTCGTGGAATTTGCAAAAGTGGCAGTTGAGCTTTAGTTCCTCACTACAATTTTAACTTCAACAGTGGTCAGGTTTTATTGCAGTTTTATCCCGTTTAAATTACGTCATGAGTTTCTATTCATCCAGCAACTGAAGCACAGGAGTGTCAAAACTTATGAATCAAACCTGGGTTTTGTTTGTTTTTGAAAACGTGCATGGATTTTTTTTTTACTTCTGTGGCTTTTGACTGGCGCTGTTCTGGTTTTCGTCGATTTGGGACACGTTCAATTGTTCGCCCACGGGTTCCGATGGATCAGACATGTTTGTTCGGCGTTGATGGTATGTGTCGCTTTTTTTTTCGATGTTCAGTTGTTTTGTTGTCTGGCGATCCAGATTGTTTTCTGAAGCTTTTCGCCTTCAGCAAATTTGTTTTTGCCTCGTGGGTAACTTTTCTTCACGGAGGTGTATTTCTCCGAAGTTTGCAATGAAAGAGAAGAGAGACTCGAGAAAAAAAAAAACACCCTGTGGGCGGGCGGCAAACTTGCTCTCAACGTTCTGCTTGAAATGATTTGAATGCTTTCCTGGTGAAAGTATCAGCCGTTCGTCTCCTCGCTCCCTCGTCGTGCATGTTTTCCTTTTTCTTTCAATTTCTCAATTGTTTTTCTCTTCTTTTTTTTCAACGATCGTCACAACAAAGCGTGAATGAACAGGTCCCGAACTCCGTCTCGAGAAAAGCAACTTCCTCGATGTTGACGCGGATATTGGTTGTTGTTATGCGATCATGCTTTGGAGCTCCAGCTGGAAATCCAATATTCCGGCATTGCTGTGCTTTATTCATTAGATTGGGGTGATTTCCTTCTGGTGCTACTTCTGGGGTTTCATTTGCTTACGAACTTTCAGATTAATTCGGTAGGAAACCATTTATGTAAAAGCATTTTTATTCCTGGATTACGTTCTTTTGTTGGCATGGAATTCTTTACGAAAAAATGCTAAATGAATATTTACGGCGAGTTTGGTTGGGGGAAACAAAAGTCGCCGTAAACTATCGGTTTAGTTGCTTAATGCCTTTCTTGATGAGCGAATTTAAGAATTCGATTTGCTTCACTGTGAAAATAATTTTGAACGTGAAGTTAAAATTCAGTTTTCATGCGCGAAGTTACAATTTTAGTTGCTTTTCTGTTCTGCTGAAAATTCATTTTACGGTAAAGCGAATTGAACAATGCAATTTGCTTCATCATGAAAATACAGTAGGTATAAGCATACAGTTGACATTCCATTTTTAAAGTTGAGTTGAAATTTTTTTTGCAAAGGATAAAGGCCTTTTGTATTGCAAACTTGTAATTGTGTGACAGAAAAGTGGTTTCACAAAAAATGTAAAACGTATTTGTTTGTCACGTTCGGTGAAGTATTGCTGGTCAAGGGAAATTCTCATCTTTTCAAGTTAGCGGAGTCCTTTTTTTTCTAAGTAATCTTTTGTTTTGAAAACTGATTTGAAATTATCTTGAATGAGTTTTTCTGAACTCATCGTGTATTTCAAGATCATGGCATTCTGGGGTAGAATTGTATTTACCTCGAGTTCCGGACGCTTCAGCCAGATTAATTTACAATATTTCTTTCTGGACTGATAAATTGTCACCCGAAACATCATACGCATCGTATTTGATTTTATTCCGTGTTTCTTTCGACCCGTAATTTGCCGGGGGTCTGTTGTATTAATGCTGGTTGAGTCTTTGAGATTCAGAAGGGCACAATTTGAGAACCATTGGTTGCACCCCGAGAATTATACAGGTCTCACAAGTCGTTTTATGAGAATGCACCTGAGCTCATTTCTGAAACACGTTTTTAGGATAAATTGGGGAATCTTGGTACAGTACTACTGCTGTACAGTATCTCAAATTTTAAGAAAAGAAAAGGCTGGACATTTTCCTTTTGTATGCTTCCAATTTTCAATTCAGTACAGTAATAGTCCCGAATTGTCATTTTCTTACGTAAATTCTAATTTAGCCCCCCTTCACCACCAATGAAAATATTATTATTGACTCAATACTTTATTGATTCTCTTGCTGCAAGGCGTGTCTGGAATTTGTGCCGGGGCTTATTGAATAAGTAGGTCACATTTTTTTTGGGTAAACATCGTAACTCCCACGACGCAATACAAGCGTGTTTCGCTTTTGCAATGACGATGCATTTGAACAATTCACGTTTAAATAAAACGACAATTTCGCAGTTTGGTACGAATAATTTATTTTTCCCTCGTTACGAAAAACTCGCCGAGAAAGGGGAAAAAAAAACACTGCCGCTTCGAGAACAATCACGAAATTTCTTCCCTCCTCTGGTAATCCACCTCAAAACATCCCACATTTTCAAAGAACAATAACAAGCAAAAAAAAAAAATATGAACGCGGGAATTCTTTTCTGCCGAGGCGAAGAAGAAAAAACACGTTCTTCGAATCGTTGCGTTTTTTTGAGACTTGGGGTTCGGCATTTGACTTGGGGTTCGGCAAGTATAAGATTGCTCTTGGTTAAATGAGCTTTCTCTTGTATAGAAACAAGAATTGCATTCCGCGTATTTCACGGAAGGCGGCGGGAAAACGCACTTTCTTCCCCCGGTGTTCGATATTTTTCTCGATCTTGATCAATGATGGCACCTTCATTTCCCTAATTAGGTAATCGAGACTCGACTCTTTCAGTCTGGAAACGGAAGAGCAGTTTGCACATTTGTTGAGCAAGTACTGAGATTTAAAATATGTAAATGAAACTGCGCAATGGCAATTCGTTCAAGAACGATGAATCCCAGCGCTCTTTTCCGTCATCATAGTCAATAGTCGCGTGTATGTCCGTGATGTTGATGATAAATTGTGCTTTAAATGCACGTGGCATCTTTGTTAAGATGTTCAGAGGAAAGTAAATAAATTTATTCTAGAAAAATTATCTTCGTAGATGTGTGAAATCTCTAAATCATGAGCTGATATGTGTAAATTCATGGTGAATTCGCGAGAACTCAGAAAACAATCGAAATACAGTAGAGGGACTTTCTTCTGCTCAAAAATGATTTCATAAGGATTGTAGCTGTTCAAAACGTTCTTTGACGCATAAATGTATTCATCTCGATTTTGAAATTGACGGAAATACATTTTTTGTGCGAATTCCGTGCGAGGAACTCTAAAATTGAAAATGTCGAGGATTAAAAATGTTTTCCTTTCGTTGAAAATTTCGGAAAAATTTGATTGATTTGCGATTATTTTATCAAATCGCAATGTCGAGAGTGTTTCCGTGTACATCATGCAATACCCAGTACCCTGGAAGTCTCGTGGACTTCGTCGAGGAATGCAAAATTTCCCCCTGAAATTTTGCTATTCTTATAATTGTATTTATTCGTCTTGTGAGTGGGCGGCGAAATGAAATTACGCAGAATTGCGTGCAAAATGCATCCTCTTCCATTGGCAAGAGCATTTTATCGATTGGGCCGCATCACGGGTGTCGTGGTGCAGGTGCTTACGTTTATTTGTTTCATTTTAAAGATAAATGCAAGCTTTGCTACAAAATTAGAAATGCTCAATACAGTACAGTACTGTAATGGGAGGATTTCTTAAGTTTCTGCGAAGTGTCCGCCATGCCTTGAAAAGCATTTGTCAGGATTATTGAGGGGCACCATTTTCTGAATTCGATGCAGAAAAATGCTTTAAAGTAAGATTCCATTTTAAAGAAACTACAGTATTTTTAGCCATAATTTTTTTCTTAGTTTCTGTGGAAAATGTATGGAAATCATTAAGAGTTTTCTCTCTGGGAATGTTGAGTTACGTTTATCTCGAAGTGTGCCGCTTAATTTCAATGCAGTATCTTTTTTAAAGAAAGTAATACATTTGGGATACAATTTTTCAAAAAATGTTCTTCCTTATTGCGAAAAGCAGAAGCAATTTGAATTGCTCATCTTCTGACAATGCAACATTATTCCCAATTTTTTTTTCGATTCGGGAAAAGTCCCAAGATGTGAAATCCATAAAAGAACTGGAAGGTTGGATGATTTTATTTTTCATTGTTACGAGTCCCAATGCACGGTACTGATTACGAGATTTTGAAGACGGAAGTGGAGATTGCGATTTAGATTTGGATTTTATTTTACTGTGTTATTTTATTCGCTAGTAATCACGATGTCGAATTTTTCTCTGCATTTGCCGGATAAATTGAAGGTCTTTGACTTGGCCAGAAATGCATATCACGTTGAGGAGTTTCAAAAGAATACCGTAGTTGAAGATTGTTTTTTTTCATATTTCCTCGTGTGTTGTATTTGATTGAGCTCAGTCGAGGAATCGGAGGTGCCGTGAGTTGCTTCGTTGTTGTACGGGATTCACGACCAAGTCCGCCTCGAGTTTCCCGTTCCCTGTCCAAACCAGGACGGGTTGCAGGGCCGCCGCAACGGGCTCTGGTACCTCGTCGTTGTCGTCGGGAAATCCCAGTTTCCCGTTACCCGTCCACGATATGTCGGTGCCTTGGCGGGCTTCTGGGGCATCGGGTTTCGGGTTATTGTCGTCGTCGACGATTTTCCCGTGATCCGTCAGCTCCCCGTTCACTTCTATGATGGCTGCGTCGAAGTCCTTTCCGTTCCACACGTAAACCTTTTGTTGGGGAAATCATTTATTTTGTTTTTTAAATCGAGCTAATTTCGATCAGCTTTCGAGTCCCTCTTCTGTTCGTGTGCGTCAGCTTCTTGAGGTCAAGTCAGCGAAGAGCAACTATCTGGCTGATGATTATTTTTCATGCGTTGCATACGACTATACGAGTACGTACGTATTGTACAGTATTATACAACTCTCGTATTTTACATTGAGACCCCGAGATGCGGACATAATCGGTGCATCAAGAGTGTCCCTAAGTCAAGTCTCATTTTCCCTTAGACTTACATTATATAATTTTTAATTGGTGTTTTATCTTTTATGGACTCACCATAATTCCAAATAATAAAAATTGTCTTCCAATTTAAACTGATTCAATCAATATCTTTCAACACAATATGGACATTTTGGGAATTGAATACTGATACCTCTGTACAGCATAGAAATGTTCGCATTCTCTGCCAAAAAATGTACGTGTCCCTATGTCATATTGTCCAGTGTACACATGTCGAGGTGTCCGCATCTGGGGGTCTAACTGTATTTACTCGAGTCTAGTTCACGTTTTTTACCCCCGAAGACTCTGCTCATATGATACACGCAAGTGTACGATAAATTCGTGTATAGTCAGAACTGAACTATGATTTTGCGCAATTCACAAATTTATTCCTCGCACTTCGCTAACTTGAATGATAGAAATATAACTAAACGTTTTGTGTACGCTCATCGTACTGTACTACGAATCAAGGATTCCCGAATAACCGTTTGGCGTTTGAAAAACCTGTTACTGTAAACTTCAGAGATCAGTTGTAATTCCTGTAACTAGCAGTACATTTCTTGCGTAAAAATAAAATAAAAATTGGTCCATGATTTTTGGTCGATAACTTCGGACCGATTTTCGAAGAGCAGTGTTCCGTAAACTATGAACGGTAAAAATCTGAATTTAGGCTCGAGTTGAACTATTTGCTTTTGAATTCGGTTCGTCATGTACAGTATTGTGCTCCTCATATTGAGAGAAGTTTATGAAATCGAGAGAAGAGTTACTTTAAAAAAAATCAAAGTAACCAACAACTCTTGAAACAGTATTGACGAGTTAAATGTAGACTCAGAAGAAAGTTCAGCATCATGAACGTTCTCATTTTCTATAATTGTATATTGCAGTCTTTATGTAAATTTGAAATCTTAAAATTAAGAATTGGTATATTTGGGGTTTTCATCTTTGTTGGAAATAATTTCAAACGAAGGTAATGAACCCGACAAAAGCGAAATCGACTTTTCTGGATCGATTTGGAGATAAATGTTTCGTTGTGATAATTTCAATTGAGCCTAATTTCGTTTTTGAAACTTTCTCAGTTTTGGAAATAACGATCTTTTCTCTCAAAACTGTTCCAGAACATTTCGATCGAATCTCTATCGACAATTGTAGTTGACATTATCTGACGAAAAAATAAAAGTTGGCTTTTCTCATAATTATACTTCAAGAAAGTTTAACCTGCTGAAATAAATTATTTTAATTTTTCATTCTGAGGAACCTTTTTTCAAGCCCACCTTTCTAATTTTTTTGAGACATTCCACTGTAACGCTGCTTCAGTGGTTCTTAATATAAAAATAAACGTTTAAAATACCTACCATAAAGTATTTCAAGCAAACATTTTGCGTCTGCAAATATTTTACAGAACTTTGCCGTCCGCAGAAAAGTTTTGGGATATTTGCCGGGCCCAAAAAGGTTGAGGAACTCTGGTCTAGAATCTAGATTATCAAGAATGTTGATGAGGGATGATTGAGGAGAACGAAAACATGAGTGGTAACGAGCAAGTTTTCGGCTTGCCGTTATCATAATTTCCTCCCAAAAAGGTTGAGGAACTCTGGTCTAGAATCTAGATTATCAAGAATGTTGATGAGGGATGATTGAGGAGAACGAAAACATGAGTGGTAACGAGCAAGTTTTCGGCTTGCCGTTATCATAATTTCCAAAAAACAAAACAAATCAGTCCCTAGCTATAGTAAACTTTCCCCGTTCCTTTCTGTTTCAAATATTCCAAAAATATTTTCTAGGAAGAACAATCGTTGGAAAGATCTGTCGTTCAACTCACTTTCTGTGCGGTTTTCGACACGCCCTTGGCGTCGGCGAGTTCCTTCTTGGTCCTCGCTGGTCTCAAGTTGAATTTGGTGTGCTTTGTCGACGGGTCATTTTCCTCGACGTCCGGGAGATACGAGGGCTTGTAATTGTCGCGGAGAAATTTCTGGATGTTTGAGATCTGCTCCAACTCTGCCTTCTCCCGACGTCTCTTCTGCTCCAGCTCTTTGATCTGCTCTGGGCTCAGGGGCTTCTCGTCCAGAGTGATCATCATGTCGGCCGCCGCGAGAGTCGCCTCAGTGTGGCCTATTTTGGTGGGCAGCAACTGGGCGAGTGACGATGAGTCTCCTGTGGCCGAGGCTGATGAGGATAGTGACGAGGAAGAAGGAACCAAGGAGGGTTTCGGATTGTCGTTTTTGTCCCCTGGTGCTGCTTTGCCGTCTTCTGTGACGTGGAATTGTTGCTCGACGACTTCGACGGGGATGCTGCCCAGGGACGGGTCGTCTCCAAACAAAAGCACCTTGGGTGGATTGAAAAATTATGATGATTAAATTTGAGGGTCTCGCATCATTTTTTTTTTCAAACATTTGTTGTCTTAACCAGTGCAAATTCAAGATTTTAGGATCATTGATCAGACAAATCCTTTTGTTAATCTGAACTTAACCAGCGGTGATGTTGGTGTTGAAGATTTAAAAACGTTTTCTGCGTGTTTTTGGAGAATCCAAAATAGACTTCAACAAACTGTACAAGTGCGTAGTTTATTCCGTTTCACAAAGAATAGAATGTGTGAGCAACAGCAACAACAAGGTTCTTGCGGCAAGCGTTTGGTCAGAGTAAACTTGACATAAGATAGCGGACACTCCTATTTATAGACAATTGCGTTTGAGGTCAGCACCAAGCGTAGCAACCAATTTGGATTGGTCTTGACATGCTTGGTTGCGCAGCAACTAAGGTACAAGGCGTACAACGTAGGAAGACATTTAAAGGAAGTGAAGGCGCAGTTGCACATTTGATTAACAATGCAGAATGGAACATGAAACAGACAAGGGAACATAACAAAGGTGCGGTATATTGTAGTCATGATATTTATTGGACTTTACATTGGTCAAAGAGAAATGTTTTTTTTTTTGCTGTTTCTGTGAATTTTAAAAATTTGAAAACAGGGTGCCACCTTGTGACAAGTACGGTACTTGTACAAGAAGATCAGCTGCGTATTAAGACAAATAAGTAGAGGAACAGAAACCAAAGAATTGAATTGATACCATTCTAGGTTGCTTATTAAAACCAAAATGTCACTTGCTAAGTTGCTAGAATCAACAGTGATAATTTGGCTCTCTGAAATTTGTTCGTTGAGGAGAAAAATGAATGAATTTGTCTAATATAATCTGCAGTTTGTATATAATGTGCTCTACTTGACATTTTCCTACGTGTCTGTTACGTTGGCTTTTTTCATCACCTGGTGTCCATGATCTTTCTATCGTGAATTTCTTTTTTCTTCAGAAAATTTTATAACCTTTAGCAAAATATCACCAAAAAGTTTGACAACTTCAAAAATAATAACTTGTTCTTTACAAGATAAAATCACAGAATCCTTTGCTGAGTACAAGTGAGGGGAAAGTAGCTGACATAATTCAAATCAATCATACTGTAATTTTATGCTTCCAATGTAATAAAAATCCATCTCATTGGAAGTAATCCTTTTTTCTCCCATTTTTTAAGGAAAAAAAAAAGTTATGCCTTTGTCGTGGGCTATAGATCCCCATTTTTTGTAATTATAACGTGAGTCTTTAGTAAGTGCACTGACGTTAATCTCAATGGGGCTTTTATATTCATGTTTCCTTTGATCTTGTGTCGACCTGGCTTCCGGGAAGTTTTTCTCCCATTTTGACAAAATATGAGGTGGACAGCAACTGTGCGGAGGGTTTCAGGTTGTCGACATTTGAACCTGTGGGTAATGGACACCCCCCGCCCTACCCTTTGGGATCTTTTTTTTTTTTTTAAATTCCTCTTCCAGTCTAGTACGTGCTCTAACGTTAATGTCTGCGGGGCGTTTACTTTCGGGTTCAATTTTACCCTTCGGCGATCTGGTTCCCGGGATGTATTTTCTAACCAGAAAACGATTTCCAACACCGGGATCAGTTCCTACATATTCGCGCTTACCTTGAATAGACACACGTTGCAGCAGCCTGATTGAAGAGCTGACTGTTCGGAGCCCAGACAGCAGCCGAGACACTTGTACATGAAGCCGGCTGCGACGCACTCGGCCGCCGGCAAGTCGCCGCAGGAGTAGTCGTTGTTGCGTGCTGGGGACGCCGTGAATCGGGACACCATCCAGTCCCGAAATCGGTTCCCGGGCTGGCCCCACCGCGTGAGTCCCAGACGTTTCCCAATGTTGTACAAGAGTCCACGACCTCGTCTGTCGAGCCTTTGGAGAACCGTGAAGACGATTTATTATTGCAGTCGAACCTCTTTGGAGTCGAATTTCAAGGGACTCGCGAAGAGAAAATCGAGTGAGGGAAAAAACTAGCATTTTTGTTTAGGGGGAAATAAAAGAGAGAAAAAAATGACGGAAATTTAAATTGATGACATTCTGAGCCTTAAATTGCTTTTTGAATCAGATATACGGTACATTAAGTTAAAATTTTTTTACTGCTTTTCTCTTTCCTGCGACATTAAAATAATAGCCGAAAGGCCCCCAGAAAATTCGAGTTGCAGAAGTTTGAGGAGGAAATCCTTCGAGTTGGGGAAGTTTTTAATGCATTGTTCTAAAGGAATTCAAAGGGGACTTGAAAAAAATTGACGTTGGGATGCATTCGAGTTATCGAGGTTTAACTGTACCTCCTTTGTTGCCAATTCCACTAAGTACCAGTAAAATCCTGTCGTAACGAGGTTACCCTATTTACTCGAGTACCACGCGCCCTCGAGTAAGACTCGCACCTACCTTGAATTTTTGGCCCAAAAACCTATCCCCCATAAAACCCGCACCCCACTTTTTTTTTGTGGCTGATAATCGAAATTTTGCCTATTCATTTTTTTCTTCACAAAATAACCTTATAATTGCAATAAGATTGGAGTCAAATGAATTTTGTATCCTTTTTACCTGATGCCAACTCATAACTCACGCCAATATTTTTTTACGACTTTTTTTTCATGCTTGAAAATCTTGTATACCCGCATACCACGCGCACCCCACTTAGCTTCCTCGATTTCCAGAAAAAAGGTACGCGTAGTACTTGGGTAAATACGGGTACAGTATTCATTTTCACAAATACAATGCAGGTAGACTCTCTCTCTACAACGACTTTGTACAACGATTTTGTTCGATATGATTCTTCCCCGTGTTATAGGGGTTCTCAGCAACGATTTTTTTCGTGACCCTTGAAATTTTTTGTAGAGGGAGTCCACCTGTATTTTCTAAAATCGAAAAACTGCGGCGAAAATTATATAGAACGTTTATTGACAACGATTTTCACAAGATTCATGACAACAGATTGATTTCCTGTGTAGTTTTTCCACTTTTTCATTTGAAATTACAATTGGGACTCATTGAGTCAAATTTTCCCGTGAATCTCTGGCCAATTCCATCCAGTCGAATGCATTTTACCCGTCATCAATTCCAAAATTTTCGACTCAAACCTCGCTTAGTCAAATTTGAAGGTCTTTGTCTAATTAATTTTGAACTAAATTACAGAACGGAAAGCTGTTCGTTGGCAGTCGTATTGATCACTACTCCTGTTTAAACCCGTTTCGTAATGGGGTGTGACGTGCTTTTAAATACGGTATTATATTTGCATGGGAAAATTGCATCGTATTTCTAAAAGTAAGAAACTCCATAAGACTCTCCTTCAACAATAACTTCATAGATTCTGTTTTGTGTTCAGGCCTCGATCTGAAAGAATTTTCATGAATTCATTTTAAACGCTGTTTCATTGTGCATTGGTGTGAAACCACTTTCATCGAACCTGAAAATGCACCTCTTCAACTGAAAATTAATCTACGTCTTGTAGAACTTGATACAGTATTTGTAACCTTTGCGTTCAATTTTTATACACCTTTGTTCGATCAAGTTAGGAAATAGTTGGACGAGTTGAAAAATATTAAATGCAATACGATGTATAAATTCCGCGGAGATCAATCTTTTGAAAGCTCATGAAATTACTTGGATTGCTCAACCTCCGGGTGCACGAAAATCATGGCTCTGTTTTACACCACCATTGTCCTGGATTTAAGGGTTTTGGGCATTCCAAGGCTTCAGTATCAATTCCAGAAAGAGGAAATATTTGAGGAAGTACTCTGTGTCACGCGCATTAGTTTCGT